TTAGGCAGTCGGTTCTTAACTGGCTGCCAGTGTTGTAAAGTGTCATTATGCTAATGAATGAAAAAGCAGTTTAAGTAGCTGAAGTAGGACTACAGTTTTCTTTGGCACAAGCAGACTTTAGTTAGTCATAAACTGAAGAGCCTGTAAATTATGTCTCTTACTAGTTCAGAAATTACTTATAAATTAAGGAATTCTTTTTATGGTTTTGAATCAGTTTTCTTTCTTTAATGACTTCACATCTAAATTGATTTAATTATGGTTTAATCATTGAATTCAATTGCGAATTCAGCTCTTGATGTAATGCTCTTTAAAGACCCGTTGACTTTCTATTTAATCAACCTCTGCTTTCTTTGCTTTATTTAGAAAATGCATACAATTAAATGCCGTGAATAATTAATTTATAAATTCGTTGTTTACCATGGAAGTCTTTATGTAAATGTTTGCGAGCCACTTTCACAGGCCATTTTGCAGCCATTAGCAAATGTCAGTGGACAGAACCGGGTGACGGCCGTAACGACTTGAGCAGTGGAACGAGTCGATCTAATGGTTCTGAAAACTAAAGAAAAACAAGACAAGAGCCATTAGGTAATCGTTTTGCCACCCAAGCTCAACCCAAGTACTTTGCCCCTTTCGAAAGTGGGCTAGTGACATCAAATGGCAGAATAACAAATGGCAAATGGCAAACGGCAAAATTAAAAACGCAAATTCATTCTGTGAATTTCGTCAAGAAATTTGATACGTTAATATGACAAGAACATCGTTTCTTTACGGTTCTCAATCTTGTGTAATAAAATATTCACAAACGTGTTATCTACTCCACACACACACACGCACCGTTTTACTGCAACCTAAGCTAAGAACTCTCAAATTTTGTCAACAAGTTTGCATTTGGGATTAGCTTGGGTACAATTTGAACAGCCTTAAAGACGCACGATTGAAAAACTGAAAATCATATTCATAAGTTTCAATTAAGATAACAACTTTGCTGCAACAGCTGCTAAATCTCTTAAATTATGCGCAAGACGAGGCGAAATTGCACAATTGCAAAGTGGAGCTGGAAATATGTTTGATACATATATATGTACGAATCACAGCGCAGCAGTTCTGCTGGCGACGACAGCTGCATCAGATCGAATGAACCAAGAGTTACAGTAACTCTGCATAAACCAATCTGTAGCTGGTCCTTTGCTTGCATAAGGGAAACACAAAGAAATTGGCTTTAATAAAATAATTTGCCGCAGTTTAATTTTTTTCAATTTTTTAATTTAACAAAAACAAAAAGTAAATTATTAAATCACCAAGTCTTATATCAACATTTCTTATTTAATGAAAATGTGCTTAGAAATTTGTATAATAATTATACATTTTTGAAAAGTATAATTGTTGAATACTGTGAAATAATATTCATATACTTTGATACACAATGTTATATTAAAAATTAATTTTTGGGCTTAAGAAACAAACGTCTTACAATTGAAAGAGTCGATTTTGATTATATGTACATATATTTATAATATATAATATATATACTTTGAATGTTGTATTTTACATGTATTTTCAGCTTTTGAGATACATAATCATCTATTAAAATAGATAGTTTAGATAGATATATAATCATCACATTATTGAACCTAGTTCTTATAATCACTGGGCAATAATCTGCTATTGAATGCGAGTTATCTACAATCACATGCAGCGCTCTATCGTACTCATGTCAACTTTTTCCTATGACCATAATTGGATGAACACCTACAAAATTGTCATGTTAAATGCATAATTCAATTGCAGATTCCGGTTAAACTTTTTTCTCGCTGTGCACAGCTTTTTGGTGGGCTAGTTGTATAGCCCTTAAATGTTGTTGTCGTTGCTACTGTTACTGTTGCTTTTGTTGTTGTTGTTGTTGTTGTTCGTATGTCAGAAAGCAATGCTGTAAAATGACTAACTGGTCTGCTCGTCTGTTGTGACTTTATGTTGTTCAATGGCTGTTCTTGCTGTACGCATATTTCGATACATATCTGTATGCACACACATGTATATGCTGGTTTCTTTATGTGTGTGTTGGTGTCTGCAGCTGTATCTGTGTCTGTGCACGTCTAACGGCTTTTGAGGTCCCATGGCAATGTTGCTGTTCCGTTCGCTTAAGTTGCCTTTGGCTCAATTGCAACTGACATCGACATAAAGCAATTTGTGTGTTATTGCTGTTGTAGCTGTAGTTGTTTTTGGCTCACAGTTAAATGTTGGCAGTGGGTGGGCGGTGGAGCGCCAAAGAGTCGGCCGAAATTATCTTTAATGGCCAGCATACATCATATAGAGCATGCGAGCAGTAAGGTTTACTGTTCCAGAAGAGATAAGAAACTCTTTAAATAATATACTTTTATGCTCATATGTTAATTATATATACACAGCTATGATCACAAATATATATACATTCACACACGTACATAAATAAATAAATAGCTAAATTCTAGCTCGTGTTGCTTCTACCTTGTTTGTTGGGTCGTTGGCTATGCTAATGGGTCTTTTCGGTTATGTTTTTTGTAGCGCGCATGTCGTGCCCACACGCTTAACTAAAATAAATCGCCCCTCCTCTTAACCGCTTAGATAGTTGGGAGCGGAAGATACTGACTAACTATCTTGAGCTCTATTACCGGTTCCGCTATGTCTATTCCTATGTCGATTTTCAGTGCTTGGCTGCTTTGTTTAATTAAAATCGTGAACTTTCCGCCGAGTTCCAGATTGCTTTTATGCTGTTGTCACCGGCAGAGCCCTTCGCGCACACACACACAGAATTTGCAGCTTTCGCTACTACGTTTTCCGGCGGAAACTTTTGGGAAATTTCAATTTGGCTTTCATGTGCAGTTGCAATTGATTAATGGCAAAGTGTTGTTATTGTTTACGAAAATTTCTGTTTTTACCAAGTTTCTCTGTTGTCAAACTTACTCTTGTTTTGAGACTTGACTATTTGCGATTTATCTGTTTTAAAACTGTAGCTTGACGTATAAGGAAACTTCAAATATATAACAGAATTACTAGAAACGAATAAATCTAACTATCACTATGTAATATTATTGTTAACCAATTTGTTTATTGTCTCGTATAAGACAGATTGCAAATAAAAAAAGCAATAATAGAAAAAAAACGATGTAAAATATATATATGTATTTTATCGGATTAATTAAAGTTTTTTTTTTCGATGATTACGTGGACTAGTTTAAACATGGTTTGTGTTTTGAATGAATGCCAAAGCAATAACTCCTAGCTTTCTTTTCATGCTAGCCAACGCTTTCAATTTCCTGCTGGCCAAATCCAATTTAATTCAAAATTATTACCAAAAAAATGTAAAAAAAAAACAACGAACAACAAGAGCAAATAACAAACAGTGAACTCTGATAAACAAAGTTAAAAATTGAATTCGAGAGCTCTCACAAACTTTCGGTAAACCCCCAAAAAAAAAAAACAGCTGAAATCAAGAACAAAATTGCAAATTCCTTTTTGTTTTTGTTTTGGTAGTAACAACAAAAGGAAAAATAGAAATCAATGCATTTTGGCAACAAGAACTGCATATGGGAAATCTGAACTGCTATGCGTTGAGTTTGTGGTTGGCAAAACAAAAGAAAAATAAAGGAAAAACTGCAGCTTGCCAGGCGAGAAAAACTTCACGACTTTTGCGTTTTGACTTGGCTTTCATGTTGTTGTCAAGTTGTTGTTGTTATTGTTGTGGGAGCATGCAAAACTGTTTGCAGCACAAAAATAAGAGGAAAAAATGTTTGAAATTTCAATAGCCAACTAGGAAATACCCTGTACCCTGGTTGAATATTGTAAACTGAAATAAAAATTTTCTTCAGCAAATTCTGATTAAAAGAGACTAAAATAAAATACATTAAGAAGAAATGCATTCATACCTCTGTTACATACAATGCCCTCTTGGCATTATATTCCATCTTAATGGTAAAGGGTATTAAAAACGAACCGAAACAATTTTAAGCTGGAATGACTCGCATATTGTGCAGAAGAACGGGCGACAAACTAAACCCGAGCAACGGCAATGGCAACGGACAAACATGTCAGCAAGTCAAAAGGACGTCAAAAGGACCTCAACCGGACGGGTTACTGAAAGCCCCATCCTGTCTGTCCCTCGGCTATGGCCAGAGCAATTTACGATGAAATCAAATTTGGCAAAAAGTTTTTGCTCTCTCAAGCAACTAATAAGTCGGAATGTTCCATCAGGCGATTCGATTTGCAAACTTTCAGACAGACAGTTGATTTAAAAAGAAACTTTCCTTTTTTTAGCTTTATTATTTAGCTATTCAAATTTGAATATTTCTCACAATTATAAAAGTTCTGAATGTTTTTGATTAAGGGACAATGTTTTTTAGATTGACAACTTGTAGTCATAGCTTTAGAAATTTAATTTAAAGTGAACGAAATAAAAACCGTGCTGCTTAACTACTATGAATACACTTGACTGTGATGGTTCAGTTATGTAATGATCTTTATTCGTCTGAGCTAGAGTTTTTATACCCTGGCTCATCTATTTCATTTCATCTTTTAAATCTAACTTATCAAGTGCCGAGTGTGTAAGGCTCAGCGTTGGTATGTCTAATTTTAGAATCTAAGCATGTCATTTGATCTATTCCTAATGCACTCTCTGCACGTGGTTGAGTGCGTAGACTGCATGCTTAGAATTCTTGAATATGCTGTATATTCATGCCTGAACAACTACTGAATGTTTGAATATAAACTATTTAAACAATCATATTGCATGAATATGGAACTGTTAATAGAATAGCTTAAATCTTGTTTTTTTTTTTAAATAAATATTAAATATTGCTTTTCTTTGCGAATCTCATACGTTTCAATAAGCCACACAGCATAATATGCTTTGAGTAATGAAAGTTAATCACGACTCATATTTTTACTATATATTTGTCGTCCACTTTTACTGCTTTTAGTATTACTTTGTTCAAACTGTAATTGGTTCTGTTCTTTTGTTATTTTAGTGAAGCGAGACTATGACTCCGTCTTACTAATAGATGGCAACTAAGAAAGCTAGTGGCTGTATGTAAATTTTTGGGTAAGTAACAGACATACATGTGTCATTATTCATATATGTATACATAATAATTCACAAGAGAACTAAACATATGCAAATTCTTGTCAGATTAGGAGGAATGATTCTGTGCTTTTAAATATATCTTCATATTCCACTTGCCAGAATTTTATATATACCTAAGTTTATAAAAAATTAAAGCTTATATACATGTAGATAAAAAAACACATCAAGCGCATGATTCGAACTCGCAATCAAATAGCGTGTTAACAGAAGAAAAAAAGCAACTCCGCCGCAGCCAGCAGCCAGTCGAACCTACGCCTCATTGGAGGCATGCATGCATGTTAAGTGGTAAATCCATAGCTAAAACGCAGCAGTTGACAATTCAAACACAATTCAGTCACAATTGCGATTCTTTGATTACAAAAAAAGCAATATATAAATGCACATGTGTGGATAAATTAAGCACGCAAAGATGTACAACTGCAGTTTGATAGTTTGTTTATATTGCAACGGTAATAGTTATAAATTAGTTGAAACAAATTTGATGTGCGCGTGCTATAGAAGGACCTACAAATCTCCTAATCTTACAGGCTCTTAGTCAGACAGACGCAAAGTTGAGTCGATTAGCTTGTCATCCTGTTCAAGAACATATATACTTTATTGGGTCTGCCACGCCTCCTTCTGCCTGTTACACAAAATGTTAACAATAACTTGTATACCCTGAATGCTCGTTTTCAATGAGCTGTAGGTATAAAAAATATGTTACAATTAATATTTATTATAGCCTTGTTTTGTAGTAAACACAGAATTCTGTATAAATTGCTTTCAAAACAGGGAATAAAAAATGAAAAAAAAAAACCACTTAAAATGAAAATCCCAGCAAAAGTACTGAAAAGTACCTAATTCAACTATTGCTTGAAAACAGAAAAAACACTCATATAATTTCACAGTTTTGCTCCCAACTTGAGAAAAGTTATGGCAGCGATGCGAATCATATTTTTCAAAGTCAATTGAAAGAGGGACTTCAAAGCCACTTGATAAATGCTTATTTTTCTTTTGTTATATTTTTTGCTGCTTATCAGAGGGTTCTGAACAGAGATGTGACAAGAAAAAGCAAGAAAGAAAAAAAGATCTTCAACTGAAGTGCAGCACGCGCAGTGTTAGTTCCAGTTCCACTTTCAGTTAAGCCCCTTACATCACCTCCACGCTTGCTGCGCTTCTAATGAGCTTAAGCAAGAGTTTTATACTTTTCATACTCGCTCACGAACTAAAATTAAAGGTATATTGAACTTGGAGAGTTACAGTTCTAGACTCATATTTGCCTTCTACTGGAACAATCAAATTCAATTTGAATGAACAAACTAAGCAAATTGAATAACTGATCAGGAAATATCATTCTTTACTTATTCAAACACATCATTATATAATCGGTTAAAAACTTCAATTGTTCAATTTAAAAGGCAAATCGAAATGATTTAGATCATTATCTAATGAACTGTTAAGATTCACTTTGAAAAAATTGATTTTCGTATAATTTATTTTTATTAAACCGTGAACGAGTATTGCGTAGTCGACTGTGCACGACTTCAACATTATTACTTGATTTTTATTCACTCGGCACATTGTGTCATGCAGTTGGTAAAGTGCGCTGGGGAATGAGGGAAGGGTGCAACGTTTAAACTTAACTGCTGAACGTGTCGAGAGGAAAACACACACATTTGCATGTAGCCAGTGACAGGTGCTTTCGGTGGCTGAGCGAGATGCGGGTATTCGCAGAGCAAACGTCACTTAATGGCCGCTGATTAGCATGCGAGGGGCTGGCTCTCTGACTGTCTGTTATTTGTGTGTGCACGTGTGTTTGATGTATGTGCGGCTAATTGAAACATTGGTTAAGGGGGTCCAGGCGCTGCTGCTGACACTAGCACACTTGAATATGCTGTCTGGCGAAGCTTTTCAGTTCAGATTACATTTAATGCAATTCAAATTTAGCTACTATACATTTGCATATCCCTCTCACTACTTCTTTATTAAATTATAATTTGAAAATTGTTTTACATGGCGTATGCGTGATGCATTTCCATGTTCCCATCACACATACGCACGGTGTACCGCCGTACAAGCTGCACATTTTGAGGTCAAACTGGGCAAAAGTTTTCACCAACTTTATGTATATCTGTATGTGTATGTATGTGTGTGTGTGTGTGTGTGTGTGTGTGCGTGCGAATAGTTTTTGATTGAGTTTTGAATATATGTTAGTTCTTCTATTTCTGGTATTTTGGTTCGTTAGGTTCGTCGAGGGCAAAGTAATTTGCCTGCCTTGACTTTTTGACTTCTCCTTTAACTTCGCTGCACTTTCTGTGTGGCAAGAGCATGAATTCTGACATAAGAAACTTTTATTTAATATAGAAAAAAGTTCAAATTGATGTAGAAAATTTAACAGTAATGTCGTCTATGAATTTTTAGAACTATATAATTACAAAGTTCCTCTGTTTGTTGAGGTTCCGTTTCTTGGCCTTTGTGTGTAGTAAGTGCACAGATTTTGGCATACATTGTGATTTGATGTTGCTTCAAACTTTAGTTAATATTTTGCTATTAAAAACCTTCTGAATCAATTACTAAATAAATTTTGCTTTACTGAAATTTCTGTACAGACTGTTATGTTGTACTTTTGTTTTCGATTTTTTTTTTCTTAGGCTTACATCATTTCATACATCAAATAAAGATTTGACGACTGCAAAGAGAACAAGCACATGGTGAAACATATTTCATTAGTATCAGCAGTGCAATTGCAACAATTAAATCGCAGGATAAACTGGTCAGGCAGAATATCCGTCGCTCTCTCTGTGCCTCGATAATCCAAATGTTATTTGCATATTTGATTAAATGTAATTTCTAATAATTAGAGAATTGCTCGCATTTGCTCATATGGCATACAGCAGTTGAAATTTAATCGCTTACAAATTGCTAAATTTACTTATGCCATAAATGCGCAGGTCCTTTTACGCGTCCTACCACGAACTCCTCTGACCAACAACTAATATAAATAGATATATATATATATGCATATATATGTATGTGTTATATATATTCGTCGCAGACATGCGAAACATATTTGGGATGTGCGTTAATTAAATTTTCTCAGGCGCCTCTGACGTCTCCGACTGTCCTGAACCACCCAGCGCCTTAGCCTCGTGCAGCATGAAATATTCAATGCGATGTGAAATATTACAGCACTTGTTCTCGAATTGAGGCAAAGTGGTCTCGATGGCAGGGAATGGGCACATCTTAAATTTATGAACAACAGCAACTGAAATCGAGATGTTGCCCTTGCTTCAGCCGGGGATTATGCAATGATTTTATTGTACTTTGGTTGGACTACAGCGATACATGTCCTGTACTTTAATTAAGAATAGAGTATAGAGCACAGATTATAAGATTAAAGACTATCTCTTTTAAACATAGGCTTTACTCTGACGGTTTTAGAAACATTTATAGAACAATTTAGTTTAAATAAATTTTAGTACATTTACTGACTATTGTTTGTTGTTTGTCACCTACAAAATCCTAAAATCTTTTGAATACTTTTGCATTCATTGCCCATTTGATTAATGATGCTGACGATGCTAATGCTGTTTACCTTTACTATTCTCATTATTGTCATTGCAGATGCTCACAGAAAACCAGCGAGCCATACAAAGGAAAAGCAAAGCCAAGCAATACGACTGCAACGACAACTGAGATAATCTGGACGCCAGATCCCCTTGTGCAAAATGACTTTTAAGCCCTTTCGACGCGGCTCGGCGCGCTGCATTGGCCTCCTGACGGCATCTGTGACCATTTTGCTGTTCCTCTATTACTTCTCCATTGGCCAGCCAAGCCCGGCGCACATCGCAGATGCCAATACGGCGGGCATGAATCGCGCCCATGCGGCGGCGCTTAACAGCTTTAGCATGGAACAGCATCAACAGCTGCAGCAGCCACAACAGCAGCAACAGCCGCAGCAACAGCAACAGTTGCTGCATCAGCAGCAACAAGCCAAAAAAATGTATCCCAGCACGCAGACAGACGAAAATCTGGGCGAGGAGACGCTGCGGAATGTGCATTGGGGCGACAAGTGCTACGTGCTGCTCCAAAGCATAACAAACATAACTGCCTCGGAAGAGCACAGCAGATTTGATTTCCAGGTAAGAATCCACTGCTGGCCTTCATATTAAATTAACGTATATTATCCGCCTTAACATGGCTCAACTGCTTTACTCCTTTACACACAGTTTCTGTTGTTACGGCTGAACCGAGCAGGTCTTTAAAAGGAATTACTGAACGATTTCAGTAAACTGGGAGCGACAGAGTTTAATAGATTCTGAAAGATCTCTTCTGATTTGTACTTTTAATGGTTTCGTTTGCTCGATCCTTAAAACATCTAGATACATGTCTATTTGTTTGTTTCTTAATTGCGTAGCATTGTTACAGAAATCAATTTAAGGCAGTCATAAATATCTTTAGTATTTGAGTATCCATCTTGGAGCTCTTACAAGAACGAAGCTCTAGCAAAATCAACAGCGTTTAATTGGCACAAAAGGCTCAACAAAGGCAGTTAAAGTGAAAGAGCGTTGTGAACCGCCATTCATTTCAGCTAATGAGCAAAACGTTACTAAAATCAAGAATCAGGGTTTATTCCAAACCGACGATAAAAGACATTTACTGATGAAGTTGGCATATTATAACAATCGAAACCATTTTGAAAGATATTTGGACAGTCAAATCTCAATTGGTTTCATATCATGTATCATAAACATGCGATACCGATATCAATCAATATCGATATCGATAGCATTCCATGCAACTTATGACTTATGGTTAGATTCAAAAGACTATTCCGGGGAAATTGATTTAAGTTGATTTAGAAGATAAATACCGATGCGAAGAAGGTGATGAAGGCCGTTCCGGAAAATAAGTTTATTCGAATTATATGGATGTTATAGATATAGAAGAAGAAATAAAGACTTTTAAATTTATAACAGAATTCTGGCAATATTATGGACACGATAGTTCGAATCTATTGAGTCTATAAAGAACAACGCGCTCAGCAGATGTTTATCGACTAAGCAAGTTGAACAAGCAGATGAGGGGCCAATGCAGATTGCCACTCATAAAGAAAGATTGAACTTATCAAATTGAACTAGAACTGTTAATTTCAACTTAAGCATTTTTCCTTTCCTTCCTTTACAGCCCGAGTGGATGCGCTCCAAGGAGTACTGGGATCGCGGCTTTGAGGAGCGTTACGAGGCACAGAAAAAGGATAAACAGCGTCCGCCTTTGAAGGTCATCGTTGTGCCGCATTCCCATAACGATCCTGGCTGGTTGAAGACCTTCTACAACTACTTCCAATCGGACTCGCGCCAGATACTAAATCTGCTGGTGACCAAGATGCAGGAGTATAAGGACATGACCTTCATCTGGTCGGAGATAAGTTTTCTGCAACTCTGGTGGGATCAAGCACATCCCACCAAGCAGCGCGCTCTCAAGCGCCTGGTCAACTCGGGACGCATAGAAATTACCACCGGAGGTTGGGTCATGACGGATGAGGCCAATGTGCACATTTATCCCATGCTCGACCAACTCATCGAGGGCCATCAGTGGCTAAAGAACAATTTGAATGTGACGCCCAAGGTCGGCTGGTCCATCGATCCATTTGGACATGGCAGCACGGTGCCATATCTGCTGTCCGGTGCCCAGTTTGAGGGCGCGATTATACAACGCATCCATTATGCCTGGAAGGAGTGGTTTGCACGTCAGCAAAGTGGGGACTTCATCTGGACACCTTACTGGCGCTCGGCCAATGATCAGGGCAAGCTACTTACCCACAACATGCCCTTCGATATATACTCCATAAAGGGTTCCTGCGGACCGCATCCTTCCATCTGCCTGAACTTTGACTTCCGCAAAATACCCGGAGAGTATACGGAATACTCGCTGAAGGCGCAATATATAACAGATGAGAATCTGGAGGAAAAGGCGGAGCTGCTCCTGGAGCAATATGCACGCACTGCCTCTTTGTTCCCGCACAATGTGGCCCTAATACCCGTCGGTGATGATTTCCGCTACAACAAGGAGCGCGAGGTAGATCAGCAGTATCGCAACTACAAGAAGCTCATCAACCATATCATGGCCAACAAGCGGTTATACAACGTGGATATTAAGTTTGGCACGCCCAGCGATTACTTTGCAGCGATACGGCAGCGCATGGGGACGGAGAAGGCGTTCCCCAGCTTCAAGGGTGATTTCTTTGTCTACTCGGATATCTTCTCAGAGGGCAGACCCGCCTACTGGTCGGGTTACTTTACGACCCGGCCCTATTACAAGCTCTTGAGCTCCGAGTTGGAGCATAATTTGCGCGCAGCCGAGATTCTGTTTACAATTGCTTATAATTCGGCACGGCAATTGCATCATGATGATGCCATCAAGATCTATGAGAAGAACTATGAGCAAATTATACATGCGAGGCGAAATCTTGGCCTCTTCCAGCATCACGACGCCATCACGGGCACCTCCAAGGCGGCGGTGATGCGCGACTACGCGATGCGACTATTTGACAGCACCCAAAACATGGTCAAGATGCAGGAAGCGTGTGTGGAGCTGCTGCTCCAGAATAGCAGCTCACATGAGCACGGCTTTTTGATCAGCGAATTCGAGCGAGATAACTTTAGTAAGCTGCCCAGAAAGATGCCCATCCAACTGATGTATCCAAGTGCCACGGGCAGCGATGAGGCCGGCAGCAGCAGCACGACTAACACAGGCAATGAAATCGATGATGGGGATATGGAATCAGCTGTGCCGCTGGCCAAAAATGCTGAGGCCAGCTTTGTCGTCTTCAATGCGCTCACGCAGAGGCGCATCGAAATTGTGACGTTGCGTGTCCAGCAACCTAATGTGCGCGTCTACAATGAGCGCGGCGTAGAGCTTAAGCACATCCAGATCAATCCCGTTTGGAACATCACGGATGCCTACGAGCAGCAGGGCTTCAATACGATGCCCCAGTCGAACAACGGCGCTCGCATTCGCACCTCTAGGCGCCAATATGAAGTCATGTTTGTGGCCGAGCTTGAGCCGCTCTCGCTGACGACCTATCGCGTCCAGGTGGACGAATTCAACTACAAACGCAACATTGCCACCATCTACTGCGATGACTGCACAGAGAAGGCGAGCGTTGTCGAGCCTGGAAGTACTACGCCGGGCAAGCTCAATATTGTGGAGTTCGACGCAAAAGCCAAGCCAGCCGGTAAGCAAACATACGACTTATTACCAACTAGAGGAGATCCTAAACTCTACTTTACTTGAAACATGGTTCGATTATCTTTAGTTCCCCACTCTCGACTAAAGCAGTCTTAATGTGTTCACAATTCTAATAATTTTTTTATTTTGGAATACCGCCAGGTGACATCCAGCTGGAGAACGCTCACATGCGTTTGCTGTTCGATGAGAAGAGCGGCTTCCTCAAGACAATCACCCGAAAAAATAAGCAACAGCAGCTGCTGCACCCGATGCAGTGCGCCATCAAATTTGCGGCCTACCGCAGTGCGCAATTCCATTCGGGCGCTTATCTATTCAAAACGGATCCCGAGCAGAGCGAAGCCGAAAAGGATGTGCTAGATCAGTACGAGGATGTCCGCATCATAATCACCTCCGGGCCCATTGCCAGCGATGTGACGGTCATCTATGGACCATTTATGGCGCATACTGTGAGAATTTTCAATTCGCGCACTCACCTGGATGCCGCCATATATATCGAAAATGATATCGATTTTGAGCCGCCTCCAAAGAATCGGGAAACGGAGTTGTTTATGCGGCTGGTCACGAACATTGATAATATTGCACCAGCGCCGCTTCAACGCGATCCGCTTAAGGATCCAACGGAGACAAGCATACCCGAATTGCCAGTATTTTATAGTGATCAGAATGGTTTCCAATATCATCAGTAAGTATTACTAGCTATATTTGAGGTTATCCACATAGTAATCTTTGCTTTCTCAACAGACGGATCAAGGTACCTGCAATTGGCATTGAGGGCAACTATTTTCCCATTACCTCGGGCGCATTCATGCAGGATGCACGCTTGCGGCTGACATTGCTCACTACGCATGCGCAGGGCGCAGCCAGCTATGAGCCTGGCCAGTTGGAAGTCATGTTGGATCGTCGCACACTCTATGATGATTATCGCGGTATGGGCGAGGGCGTAGTTGATAGCCGCCTGACGCGTCACAAGTTTTGGCTGCTGGTGGAAGACATGCCGGCTAGTCAACATGTGGATAAACCGCCCAGCTACAAGGTGCTCAGCTTGCAGGCACAACAATTGGCCAACGGACTACGCTACCCGCCAAATCTCTACTTTTTAAGCAACTTCGAACAGCCTCAAGCGGCGCTGCAGCCTCTTGTCCGTCTTCTGCCACATGGAGCGCTACCTTGCGACGTCCATTTGACCACATTGCGCACGCTCTCTGAGCCACAGCTCCAACTGTTTCCGTCCGCGTCAGCATTGATGGTACTGCATCGTCAGGGCTATGACTGCAGCGTCAGCTCACAGCATCTGGACATGAGCAACTTGTGCCCGCTGACAGGCAATGGTCTGGGCGCCGTTCGCTTTGGTGATCTGCATCTGCAAACCATCGAGGCAACCAGCCTGACGGGACTACCCAAAAACTTGCATTCGCAGACATTACGCTCGCTGTCACAGATTACACTCGAGCCTATGGAGCTGCGCACCTTTAATCTCACGTTTCGTGGGGCATTGTAAGCTCCATCAGATATCCAATACCCTAGGCAACGGCAGAGGCCTCAGCAGCAGCAGATCCTCGTGAAGCCTCTATATTCTATCTCATGAGTAACAGAATCGAAAATATTTATTGTATTTATTTGATATTTAGTTAAGATCTTGATTGATTTTTGTAGTTCTTAAGTACGGACAAGTGGACGTCATTAAGCTTTATTTAGCGTACTCTCTTCTCCGCGTCTCACAGATTTCAAAGTACAAAGCCCAGAGCATAGTTATCATATACCAAAACTACCTATGTGAATCTATATCCAATAGACCATTTCACTGCCCATGAGCATTCCGTTGAAGCGATTGAAGCGATACAAGCTATGCAAGCTCCATAAGATTCTACACTGTACGGTCCACATTTAGTGCAATATTTTTTCTAAGCAGAGGAATCCTAATTTCAATCAGTTAATGATTCGTAAAGATGTATCTTCGTTAATTTGACTTGTCTAGCTAAAGACCAACAGATAATATCTTACTCTATATAAACTTTGTTTATCAATTGATTCAATTAGTCAACTTAAATATCATTTATCTAATTTGAGACTAACAGGCAATACCTAAACTGATATTACCTTAAAACTTATAAAAATTTTGTTCTTGTTTTTCATTATTGCCTGTTTGATCTTAGGTAAAATTAGTAGAGCTTAATCATAATATTTATAGCATATATATATTTAGCAGCAAATATTTAGCCAGCGAATTAGCGTCAATTTGTTCCGTTTTAGCCACAAATATTGAATTTTTTTTGCCTTCTATTTAATTTATTTAGACTGATTAGCTTAAAATATATGCGAGATGACAAAACGAAGATGAAAAATTTATTATAATATATAATAATTGGAGGCATAAAGCATTATGACAAATATATATCTCAATTAAAGGAAGACACTTGGAATTAGCATAAGATTTTAACGGACGTTGGATAGCAAAAGAAAAAGAGTTATGCCAAATATTGAAGTACGTTTATACCCTATATTTATCTTAAAGCGCCTGTTCGCTCGTTGTTTTATTTTTTCTTGTATATAGTTCCAAAAGGCACGGTAACAGATAGATATAATATTAAAACGAAACTAATCCACTTAGACTAAGCCCCATTACCTGTAGTGCTGTACTTTATAAACGAAACGAATCTTTGATATAAAATGCATACAAATTATATACTATAGTTACTAATCAAATAAACTAAATATAAGGCTTCACATTTACCGAAAACAAGAAGCATGAAAATACGTAGAATACCAAATACACTGAAGAAAAAGAAAGAAGCTTTTCAGTTGGATTTTTAACGTATATTATATTTGAGATATTTATTTCAATGTAAATTTATGAATACAAAATGAATAAAGTATTAATTGAAACCAACGCAATTGGTTTGTTTTTTCCTTACATTAGGTACATCAAAAACCTTTGTTTTTCTTTAACATCGTTTCACGAAAACTAAACTAAATTTAAAAAAAACTAAAGCAAACATAAATCCAATTTTAATCGGCAAATTCAACAGTTCAATATATTCATATACGATCTGTATTCATTTAGCTTAAATTACAAGTTATAGTTCTTATAACATATATTATATTTTAGATATTTAATTCAATGTACATTTATGAATGCAAAACGAATAAAGAATTAATTCAAACCAACGCAATTGGTGAATGGCTTTGTTTTTATTTAACATGGCATTACGAACACTAAATTAAATAAACTGAAGCTTACATAAATCCAATTTCAATCGACAAATTCAACAGTTCATTATATACCTATATAATATGTATTTATTTAGCTTAAATTACTAATCATAAATTATTTACGAAGCGCAAAAGTATGCAAGTTTTTATGCCGAAAACTTGTTTTACTAGTCGTCGCTAGATGGCGCGATAGTGATGTTTCAAACGTAAAATTAGCAGTTCCTCTACATTTTTCCCGTTCTAAGAACTTGAATTAGCACGTCTTGATGTTAAAAACAAAAGTTATTTTGAACATTTACTGACATTGTAGAGGTCCAAGAATCAGTAGAGGATGGAAAAAAAAATCCAAAGGTTTTTTTGCTTAAGCAACGTTTTGGTAACCATTTAATTTGTGTACGAATATAAGTTAAATAGGAAACTAATACCACATTGTATTCTACCTAGACAGTGTTCTAGACGCAACAAAGCTTAAAAATAAATACATTAGTTCAAACACTGTTAGCATATTTACTTAGACATTTCGATTAATGGGGCACCACTTCGTACATGTTTACGCCCTTCTTGAGCAAATAGCCGCCCATGTTGGCAAGCTCCACCAATTTAGTGACGCCCGTCATAATACCCGCTCGAGTGCCCATCTCCTTTAGCTCCTCGTATTCAAAAATGCGCCGACCCAACGCAGCCGATCGCAACTGCATCATGCGCACAAAGTTCTGTAGCTGTGAACCTTTGCTGGAGCTGCTTGGTGCTGATGCTTGGTCAGCAGATGCGGCGCCAAGGCGTGTCTGCGCCATACTCTCTGACACCACAGCGATCACATCCCGCACGTGCAGCGGTGTTACAGTGCTGGAAAGATCCAGACGGGCACGTGCCTGCGAAAGGCAAATTAGGCCGAGCAGCTGGCTGCAAAGAGTTCAAATAAAGAAACATTTAAAAGAGAGAAAACAGTATGTTGCCTAAGGCTTCAGTCAAGGGCAAGAACCTTGCACGTTCTTTAGTTTCTAATTTTCAGTTTAATTATTATTAATTATGATTCTGAGATGTTAGCCAAATCACAATGAATTTTGTGTTATTACGTCTAAAATGTGACATTGAAACCTGTTTTCGGCTGGATTCGTGCTAATAGTGAATATTTGGAAACTTATAAACATTTTTGGTTGGAGAGCATCTTTCCTATTCTATATATGGTTAGTTAAGCATTCAAACTCGATTTAATAGCCATGCCCTTTAAATCAGTTATATGTGGGCGCGCTTCGAACATGTTCCAACGCAATTTAGCGGAAGACTTTTATCAAAACGTGCATCAGCTGCTCTGCTACAGAAAGGGCAGATGGCCAACGGGTTGACTGGTTGGTCGGTTGGTCGGTTGGGCGCTCGGGCGCGATCCCAAACACAGCACGCACCTTTCATTTGAATTTATCAATTTCGTTTTTTCATTCTCGGCTCGCACGTTGATGCGCGCGGTTCGGTACGGTGCGACTCCAATTTTGAATTTCGAATATATCTCGAGCTCGAGCTCGTGGAAAAGCGCATCGAATGCAGCTATCGGAAGCGTAGCGCAATTTCCTAACAGTTGACATTGAAGCGGCTTTTGTTTAATGCTCAGCTTTTCGTTGATGAAATTTTAGTTGCCCAGCAGCGAGAGATTTTTGTGCTTTTGGCGGAGTGTCGCAAGTTGCTCACAAAACAAAAACAAAACCGAAAACAAAATATTCAAAAGTGCAGCAAATACAATTAAGTAGGCGTTGTTGTTGTTGTTGTATTATTATTATTATTGAGTGCACTGTGGCTTAGATAAAGATGAACATGTGGTCGCTTAGCTTTGTCATCGCCTATTGCGTGCTCCTGCCAGCCGTTCAATGCTTCGAGATGAACAGTAAGTAATCCGTAACGTAGAATTAGGTATTAAAGCTTGATATTATAATGGGGATTTTTTAAGATTTTAAAATATATAAAAACTATTCACACGCAATGTTGGACGGGGCGTTGTCATCGTATTAGAATGTATTCCATTAAACTATTCGAATTATAATAGGATAGGCGTCAGGTTGTGTAATGCCTAGGAATTGCTCATATTATATGATATAATGTGCAAAGTATGTTGTTATAATGCAAATCGAATTGTTTTTATTATTGCTTCAACGTAATTCAATGGGAATAGAATACGAATATATATAGCTATAGCTGAAGATGCATATAAATTGTCTCAATAATAATAAACGATTTAAAGCTTTATCCTGTGATCAATCAGTTTATCCGAAAATGACATTAAAAAAGCTATATAATTGATAAATATTCCCTAGGCTGCACAATTAAAACTCATCTTCAAGGGCTCACACTCCAACGCATAATTTATGAACAGTGACAATGGAAGATTTCGCACAGGTACTTCAAATTGTTTATCAACGTCAGATGAGTTGACAGATTCGCACTAGATAGACAAAATCCATTTGCGACTTTAATTGCCATAAGGTGTCAAAATAAGTATTCAAATGATTCCATCTCGTTTTTGTATTCTAATCAATTGTCGCATCTCAACTTTAAGCATCTTGCTGCTTGAATTTTTTCGTCTTTTGCTTAACACGCACAGTTAAACCTATTGCCAAATTAATCACCAAGTTCCCCCACACATCAGCAGAATATAATGCGTAATATTTATTTACATTCCAATTATAGCTCTTTGTGGGCGTAGGCAAGCATTTTTTCTATGATTAAGCCCTATTTCACTAAATATTTGAATACTTATATGTTGGGCTTAAATCAGATTCTACTTTAATATGAATCAATCCAATCGGTATACACTTTTCACATTTTGGACGAGTATAAAAACAGACAAAAAGATTTACGGTCCGATCTACTCGAGACATGAGCAATATGAATTTACATTATTTGTTTACTCATCTTAACACCGCAAAGCAAACAACAAACGATTTACTTTTTAATAAATGTATGCAATTATTTTGCACTAAGCGTGAAGTCCGGCAAAAGTCAAGGACTTCAAATGTGAGCTCAAGATTTATTCTTAGACGTGTTAAGTGAAACAGATATATATATAACATTTGCTTCGTATTCCAATAAAAAGTTCGTGTCCTAAGTCTTTTGAACTGGATCTGCTAAGAATGAGTCTTTTAAATTCAGAATTGACTTCTCAGCGCAATGCCTACAAAGATGAAGCGATAAATTTAAAAATTAATTTCGTGTTCTAAGTCATTATCACTAAGTGTGGAATAAGAATAAATTTACTTTCTCTTGAAACATTTGTTCAATTTGAAGCACTTTCTAATGCAACGTCGTGTTTTAGAAATTTCTAGTATAATAACTGCAAAGGTGACGCATCTGAAATTCAAGTTCAAGTTTGTGTCCTAAGTCGTTTCGTGTAAAGCAAAAAAACTTGGAGGCAGGAAAACGAGTTTCCTTTTACTTGATCGCATAAGAAGATTAAGCTAGTCGAGGCTGCCTTGTTCTTGGGGTATTTGAGGCATTTTTGCCAAGGAAACTAGTTTTGCCCCGATGACGCATGTAACTGACTTCCTTAATGGTCATTAATTTGCCTCCACAGTGACGCAGTACTACGAAATGCCGCAACTTTACGACTTTGATGACTATGATCGCTGTCTGCAGGAGTATGGTGCTGGGACCTATTGCTTTGTGCGCGCAGAGGTGCAACCGAACAGCTCAGCAGCCGCCTGGCGTGCCATCCAGGAGATCTCGAAATATGACAGACACCACTTTGACCATCGCCAGCTTTACTTTGGACTCTGCGTACACAAGTGTGAAGCACAGCTGGCGGAAGTGGATGATATTGCCAGACAGCAGCTGCAAGCGGGAGTTCTTACGGATAATGCCAAGGTGAATTTGGATATATATATATATATATATATATATATAAATTAGATCAGAAAAGTTAATCAAATGTTGTTTGTCTTGAATAGTAAATTTCCAGAAAATATTCATGAATTAGCAACTTCAGCCTATTTAGTTAATTCAATGATATTCTATCTGCCGTATAGCTTAGCTTAAATTAGCACAGCCATATGAAAATGCGTTCAATGGGCTTGAAAACCGCTTTTCAATCTTTTTTAAAGAAAACGATCGCACACGATTTAATTTAATTTGACGCCTTTGCCCAACCAAAGAAAAATCAAGATTTCAAAATCTCCCACAGCAACCAATAAAAAATATAAAAAGACAACAAAAAACGAACAAAACCAAAAAACGGAACGAACAAATTTAAAGTGTTGAATGAAAAAACAGAAATGTTTTAACTAGCAACAATAAAAATTAAGCGTCAACAAATGCGTACAAGAAACATGCAAGCCAAACAAACAATGTTCAACGAAGTGGTTATACTCTCTTTGACAGTTATGACAATTGATTGAAACACCTTCATTATAATCTCTTCATTATAATGTCTAAATACTCGCATTAACTATTCCGATTACGCCAATTATTCATTTTGCTTCGACATTCGTTAAACATTTTTGGGCTGTTTGCAACTGCCGAGAGTTGAAATTTATATCTTAAAATTGCATTCTTATTTCTTTCAGCTGTGACATACAGCTTGAAAAAGTCCACATTCCCTTAAGCTTCAGATATAATGACAAGCACATGCTGATCAGTTTATTCAACTCAGATTACAGCTTAACAGAGTCATATAGAGGCGAATATTTAAACAAATATTTAAAGGTGCAAACATCTTAAAGAATGATTAAAATACGAAAAGATTATAAACAAAAAGTATTTTATAGATAAAGATAAGTAGGTGTATTAGGCCAGAAAAAGTGTATACATATATAAATTAATCATATAGCCCTTTCAAGACCCCTTTTATGATTACCTTCGAACGCCATGTAGATCAGTCATTTAGGTGCGTCTGCTGCATAATTAGACAAGGCAAGCTTGGAAAACCCTCTGATTGACTGATGTCAGTTGCTGCAGTAGCCAATAAAATGCAGTTTTACATTTTTTTGTTTAAAAAAAAGCAGCGTGTAGCACCTTAAAAATTTGATTCCAAAACAAATGTGGAGCAGCTGCATTTCGTTCAGGGCCAAGGCTGTGACATTTAATGGGCAATTTGAATCAATCGTTTTATCTTTTGTTTATCTGGTTTCTTGTGCTGCAGGTGAACGTCTATCTGCAACTTTTTGCCATGGAGGCGAGCAATCGGGCCCGTTACAACAATCTGACCAACGCCTGCCTCAACTGGCGCCTGCAGCAGCGTCAATTTGGAGTTCAGGCCAGGAGTGTAGTGGAATATTGTGATACGACTGCAACAGCTGGCAAAGTCACCGAGGAAGGTAGGTGTCAGGGGAAGCTAAGTTTTCTATCGTTTAAATTAAATCGGCATTGCCTGACTCGCCTTTCACATCATTATTGGTTTCTGTTCACAGATGATCCTTGGAATTTAAGCTTTTATGTGCTGGTCTTTGTCCTTATCCTTTTGGCCTGTCTGAGCAGCCTTATCGATTTGCATCTAAAGCGCCGTCGTCATGACAAAATGTTGAAGGAGCGCGATCATTACAAGACGCCGCCTCGTAGCCTGGCCACGCGTCTGCTGCTCACTTGTTCCATAGCCAGGAATTGGTATCGACTGAATCAGGAACCGAATGGCAAGATCGGGCGCGAATTGCGATTTCTCGATTGCTTGAAGTTCTTCGCCATGTTCCTGGTGATCTTTGCACACACCAATTGGGTGATCTATGAAGGCGCCATTAGCAATCCCCAAGATCCGGAGCGCATGCTGCACACAGCTGCCGGCACACTCCTTGTCTCCGGCTCCCTAATCACAGTCACGTTCTTTGTGATTAGCGGGCTGTTGCTCACCATCAATTGGCTGGCGGTGACTCGCGCCTTGACGGAACACAAACCTGAAACATGGAGTTTGGGCAAATATGCAGCTCTCTTTGTCAAGTTCAATGTGTTCCGCTATATCCGACTAACCGTGCCCTATGGCTTTATTCTTTTGATGAGTGGCGTTTATTTTGAGAATGCTGGCGGTCCCCTCTGGCGTCACATTTACCAACGGGAACAGCTCGCCTGTCGCAAGAACTGGTGGACCAATCTGCTCTTCATCAACAATTTTGTGGGCACCGACGAACGGGTAAGTAGAACATAAAAACTCTCAGAGCTTATTTACAGCAAACATCAAGTTTTAATATTAAAGAGTAAATAATTGACGATTTTAATTAGACTTTCCATATGCATTTGTGTATTTGCAGTGCCTGCTACAGGGCTGGTATTTGGCTGCGGATACTCAATCCTTTGCCTTGAGCCTGCTGGTGCTGATGCTGGCACATCGGTTTGGTCGCTGGAGCAAGCTGCTCTATGGCGCTGTGTTCGGCATTTTTATGGTGCTCCCAGCTGTGCTGACCTATGTCATGGACTACTACCCCATTTTCCTGCCGACTCCGCAGTAAGTAATCGTCGCCAGCTTCGACAAAGTCCACATTAATTTCTGTTTCCCATTTTCAGGACACAGAAGGACTCGTTTATTGGTGATAATCAGTTTACTGAATTCTATACATCATTTCAAATGAATTTCGGGTCCTATTTCTGTGGCGTCCTAGCTGCCATTGCTTACGATCAGCTCTCCTTGAAGCAGTACAAATTGCGTGAGCTGCGCAGCTTTCAGTTCTTCTGGTTTACTCTGTTCCCAGTTGGGGTTCTCTGGCTCTTTACGGCGCATCCCATTTACCAGCATTATTATGCAGAAACGCCACGCATTTGGGGCGCCATCTACGCGACCATACAACGAAACCTGTGGGGCTTTGGCCTGGGCATATTCGTGGTGGGCATGGCCGCCAAAGTAGGATGTAAGTACACATGTGACTATGATTAAATGGAGTAACAGAATTGTAGTTATTCAAACGATTTCATATCTATTTAAATAATTTTTTCAATTATAATTTATTTTTGTTTGCTAGGGATTATGCGCAAATTTGCCTGCCTGCCAATCTTCCGGATCTTGGGACGCCTCACATATGGCGCTTATATAGTGCATCTCTTGGTGGCACGAGTTGCTCTCGCCACGGTGCGCGAGCCCATTTACTTTGGCACTGGCACAATGGTAAGTTTTATTTTAATTTTTATATAGATTTTCTATGGAAACCTGTCTTGTTTTTCTTTCAGTTTGCATATATATTTTACGTCCTATGCGCCTCCTATCTCAGTTCCCTTGTTTTGGCCATATTTGTGGAGTTGCCCGTATCGTCATGTCTCAAACTTTTGCGCTAGTCAAGGATAATATTAAGTTGTGATGACACCTGCTGAAAGCTTAAGAAAAACTTAATCAAGCTTAGCTTAAAAATTTTGAAATAAATTTTTAATTTTCTGCTTTGGTAAATTATTAATTGGATGACGCTTCAATCCAACTTTATTGTATATATAATCTTATAGCTCTCAGCAAGTGTCAGCATTACGTACACTTAAGATTTTACATATAAAAATCCTAATATTAAGTAACTTAGCTTAAATAAATATATCAGTATCATAACCTATCGATAAAGCCTGCTATTCCATTATGTTCAATCAATATTTATCACTGCAAGTCGGGGGTCTTCAAGCACACATATGACAAGTTAATATTATATGCAGAAAATGCATTAAAGTATGATCATGCTTATGCTTGATCGTTAATCGATTAGAGCATATAGTCTTTTTAAATATGAATAAAATATGAATAATATGAATATTCCTTTATTTAAATATTATAAATAATGATCAGTAAATCAACTAATTTAGGACTGGGAGTTACTTTCAGAAATAAGGTTAAAAATTTAACTTATAAATTCGCTACTGACTACTCTCTTAAATCGATAATTATCAAATCTAACCGATAAAAATATAAATCGAGCAATGCCTTTGGTTTTATAGTCTTTCTATTGTAGTTAATCGATCATAATACCTGATAAGGGGATCATTTCGTTTAGATAAATCAAAATACTTCACTCACCCCATTCCTATTTGGCTCTGCTCATGCTCGATCTCGCTGCGTCGGTACAGCTCCAGGAAATGTCGCCTGATGGTTTTGGTAGATGCATCGTTGAGCAGCGGCTTGACATGATGTCGGGCATAGGCAATGAACTTCTTAATTAATATGGGTGGCAGTAGATCAAGTTCGCCATGCTCTTGGACACTATGTTCCAATCGCTTATCCAAATCATAATCCTGCTGCATAATGCTATCATTATCATCATCATCGTCGTCATTCGCCTGCACAGCGGACGTCTCATTCAACGTATTCTCGCACATAGAATCGCTTTTCTTGGGCTTTAGCACGAAGCGTGCCGCGATCTGGGAACGCTTTTTGGAACCAGCGTGCAGGGCACGCACATGTTCTGTGAGAGATATATCGCGCGTGGTCGAAGGCTTGTCCAGCAGCACATAGACCAAATGAAACTCCCTAAGCAGGGTCATAGTAATCCGTATATTCTGCAGCAAATAACGCGATTGATCGTACAGCCCACGTTGGGGATTGGCACTGGCTATGATCGCAGGTTGCGCTTCGTATGAGGCAAACGCGCCAGGAAGTACCATATTTAGCTGACCTGCTTGCATGGACTGCAGCAACAGCGTCTGCTTCGAAGCCAACTTGTCGACGCCATCCACCATGCAGTGACCCGCAGTGCTAGCCATAAGCAGGGCACCTGCATCCATTACCCGCTTGTTGCGACCACTGAAGTTGAGACCCAATTGATTACCCGCCTGGCTGCCACGTTTGCCGCTAACAAAGCCACCACGCTCGGTAATCTGAGCACAACTCTGCAGCAGCTTGGATTTACCAATGCCCGGATCACCGACTAGCAGTACGTTGACTTTTTCGCCGAGTAGTGACAGCAAGCACCCAGCCTTGGCCATCTCATGACCGTGCACCTCCGGAGCCAGCGATTGTACCAGCAACTTAAAGTTATTGGACTCCGAGTTGATCATGGAAATGACTTTCAGATCGCGTTCGCTAAACTCTGGCTTGATGAAACGTGCCTGCTGCACACTACAGGCACGCATATACGCCTGCATATCACCGCTAGTTGCTGCAGCTGCAGATGTCGATGGCTGTTCACTGTTGTCGCATAGCTCGCGAAGCTTTATAACGCCCGTGACTATAATCTCTTGTCCCACTTGCACAGAGTCCACCAGATCATGACGCAACTCAATGTCCAGTTCACCGGTAAACGTGTTCTCATAGTCCGTCAGCAGCGAGATGCTTGTCTCCTCTAGCCGTATGATCTGACGCACTGAAAGACGCGTATAGGGCGAGCTGCGTAGTGCCAGAAAATTGTCCTTGGCACTACAGAGAGGCTTCATGCAGTGATACGGACGTGGTGAGAAAGTCCCACGCTGGCGCAGCGACTGTTCTGTGTAACAGCGTGTGCACTGGAAGGCTTGCCATGCCAGGCCATAGGTCGGTTCGCCAACGCTGCTCACAATACCACGCACTGCGAACATGCTATCCACGCGAGCATGACTTATGCTGCTGATCAGCTCCACTGCCACAAAGTCTTCGGGACGTACGTAAATCTTGCGTGTGCGTCCACGGGGTGGTATATACATATCTTTTGTGCTTATTGCTGGCAAAATGGTGTCCGCCGCTTCATCGAGCCCATTATTAACGACAACCGTGTGCATGGCCACGGCTACAGTTGAGAGTGTGCGTAGTGGCTGTCTCTGCAAATCCTCTTTCAGTGTGGGCCACACCTGCTTTAGCTGTTCGTCGTGCATGATGACCGGCGCTGAGAGTTGAAAGCGTCCACTTTGGCGTATGAGTGTTATATTATATATTAATGGATTACGCTGGTAGTGCGCTTCCACGGATATAATGCGCTTGGCCATCTCGCTGCCCTCGACGTATTCCTCACGCATAAAGTACAAACGCCATCCAGGACAAGCGCGTGGATTGTCCACAAGTACACTGCGCACCTGCAGGGCATCCTCTGGAGCAGCGTAGTTTTCTGGGCGCAAGTAACTGCAATCCATTGACGCATTAGTGACGCGTTTGCGCCGTGCGACAGCATCGGACCGACTACGACTCCACCCTCGTGGCTGTGCAATACCTCTGGTAATAGAATCTTGTTCTGATCCGGGCTGACGAGTGCCGCCAGCTGGTATGACGCGACCATTTCGACGAAAATAGAAATAAGGACGATAGCTACCGCTGCCACGTGATCTGCCGCGAACAAATCTGGATGTTCCGCGGCCTTCGGGTGGACTCATTACAATATACGCTTACAAATTTCAAACCTATTTGGACACAAGTTGCGCGGTTTGCTTCTTCTGTTATTAGCATTCGACATCACAGTGCGTCAAGAGTCTTGTAATCGAGCTATCGATAATATTTTATATGAAATGCATTTGAATATCGTAAATATGAAAAAAAAAAAAAACAATTGTTAAACATGAATTAATGTTTCTAATTTTTATTTAATTGAAGGAGCTTCATGTCGCGTTCCAACATCTCTATCTGTGTGGGTAAATAATGCTTAAAAACAATTTTAACCTTAGTTTTTAGTTCCAAAAAGGTTTCAAGCACCAGTTTCTCTTCCTCCTCGTTTTCGCTCTGAAACCCCTGTAACTCCTGGAAGAAATTAACGCATCCATCAAGTAATTGAACTTGCTTAATTTGTAGTTCGGACAACTGTTTTTGTACAGCAGTAATCATCATTATGTGATCGTCAACACGCGTTGTCATTGTGGCAATAGAGTCCAACTGCATCTTGTGTGGATCTAAATCATCGGCTGATTCTGTATTTTCCAAGCTAATATCGTCGAGATCATTTACATCGATGCCTGTATCATTAACACATTCCTCATCAATTAAAACCGGATCTGACGGAATGGTACCAGCTTTTGAAGGCTTGTTTTGCTCCTTGCCTTGCTTCTTTAGCGCAGACTTACAAGCCAACTAACAATAAATATAACTTTTTATGTATTTTTGATTTTTTTGTAAATTAATTACCTTCTTTTTGGCAGCTTTTGATTTATTCTTTTTTGCCATTTTGAAGCATAACACTGCAAGAACTATTAATGAATTCGCTTATTGTTCTGAAGTAATGAAGTTATATTAGCTAACAATGTAAACATGAATGACAGTAAATTCACAACACTCCCCCTTTGAAAATAATGCTCTACAATGTTCAAATATGTTTTTCATACCATGGGCGCGCATTAAAACCAAAAAATATTAATATCGTATGCAGATAGACTAACTGAACTTTTTTGTTTCGTGTATTTTTAGGGATTTTGGTATTTTTCGAACATGGTTACACTATAAATTTTCTGCAGTGGTTGCTTGCCCAAATAGTTTACCAAAAACAAAAAACCTTAGTTAAAAGTTGTAAATTATTTCGTTTTAATAATGCCGGTGAGTATTTCAGTTGACTAGCATAGTCACCAAATAAACTTAATAAGAATCATTGATAGATGTGAACTTTAGTCGAAGAACTCGACCCCACGCAGACCTGACTATTTATAAAATTCTTATCTATTGTTTACGTATTCCAAAGGCATACCACTCGCAAATTAAGGACTTTTCTCAACAGGTGGGCAACATGGCCATTCTGCCTTTGCGTACCCAGGTTCGAGGACCAGCCCCATCTACTAATGTCGAGAGTGACATTATTGATGAGTCACTTTACTTCTTCAAAGCAAATGTATTCTTCCGCACATACGAAGTAAAGGTGTGTATTGGATTATAAATAAATATATACGTACAATTAATATATTTCATATGTTGCATGTAGTCTGAGGTGGATCGAGTACTAATCTATGTTACACTGTATATTACCGAATGTCTTAAGCGACTGACACGTTGCACAAGCAAGGCACAGGGTACACAGGAAATGTATAGCCTGGCCATTTCGAAGTTTGATATACCCGGTGAAGCAGGTTTTCCACTAAATGCGGTCTATGCGAAGCCTCAGAGCGCACAGGATGCCGATCTGATGCGTCAGTATTTTCTACAACTGCGCCATGAGACGGGCAATCGGGTGGTCGAGAAGGTATTTAGTACCGAGGATGGCAAGCCAAACAAATGGTGGACATGCTTTGCCAAGAAGAAGTTCATGGAGAAGAGCCTGGCAGGTCCAGGACAATAAATCAAAATGTATCGAAATATTTTTTATTCCATTGTCGAATTGTATTATTTAGTAATGATCGATTTTGTTTTTTTACGAATACAATAATCACGCAAATGTATCTTCGTTATCAGTGTTAGCCGAAGTTCTTTAATTGGAAAAACATTTCTAAACAAAAATCTAATATGTACAGAGAAGAATTAGCGGTACAGATGATCGGCTTGCAGATTGGATGCTATCTCCGATTCCCACTTATCGCCATTGCACAAAAGCTTCTCCTTGTTGTAGAGCAATTCCTCATGTGTCTCTGTCGAGAATTCAAAATTTGGACCCTCAACAATCGCATCGACCGGACAAGCCTCCTGTAAACGGAGCAAACATGAATCCAACTCAAAATCTAATATAATATGGCTAAATTACCTGACAGAAACCGCAATATATGCACTTTGTCATATCAATATCGTATCGAGTCGTGCGCCTGCTGCCATCCGCACGCTCCTCGGCCTCAATAGTAATTGCCTGAGCGGGGCAAATAGCCTCACACAGCTTGCAGGCAATACAACGCTCCTCGCCGCTTGGATACCTCCGAAGGGCGTGCTCACCTCGGAAACGTGGACTTAGTGGCCCTTTCTCAAATGGGTAATTAATCGTTGCCGGCTCCTTAAAGATGTGTGCCAATGTTACGGCAAACCCACGGAAAAGTTCGCCAAAGAACATTGTGGTAGCAGCACGATCTGTGATAGCATCCATATCCATGCTCAACTCCTTGTTGTTAACGTAAACATAGCCCTTAGCCACGGGGACGATGTCGTTGGGCTCCTTTTTAGCGGCCAGTAAGCGTGCGCCGTTAGTGCCAAACATGCGCTGACCTGATTAGAAATCATAATTTTTATTCAAATAGAAAAGTTGCAAATATTGAAGATTTGTTTTCACTATGACATAAGGTTACATAACCTTATTCGATGGAATTAACTACAATTGTGTTTATTATATTTTATTTAAGATTGACCCTGTTTTTACTAACCATTGCGCGTGAGTGTAAAAATTCGCATTGTAAGCGACATGTTTGCGGCGCACAAATTAATTGTCGGGAAACAAAAATTACAATTGTTTTGTTGTGGTATTTTTGGTCGATAGATATATGCTCGACCAGGGATGAAAAGCATCTGCAAACTATTTCGATAAGTAGTTAAATATCCGATGATTATCGAGTATCACTATCATTTCGATTAATATGTGTTTGAAAAGCAAGGCAGTCAGTGACGTATAACCGATGCATCTCTTTGTTTTAAAGTCTTCAATATTAATTTAATGAAAAATCGGCCTGCTAATATATGAGAAATATTAACACAGTGATCACTTTAACATTATTCAGTTGCTTTGCATTCAATTGAAGTTCAATTACAATCACATTCCAATCGGTGACGACATCGCTATTTTTGCTAACAATTTCACAAGCAGTCGTAAGCATGTCGGATTTATCCTATCTCGAAACTATTTCCCACAAAGAGCTACACGCTAAATGCCTGGAATATGGGTTACCAAATATACCCGTCACCGATACGAGTCGCAAAGTTATTTTGCGTCGTTTGCGTGCCACTATCTTGGGCACTCAAGACAAAAATACTGCTGCCACAAATATACGACGTAAAACTGTGCACAGCAGTAAGGCGACACCAGCAGCCGCGATAAACTCGAAAGAGTCTCGCGTGGCAGATAAAATTCCTAGCCGCAACAACAACAAAAACAATGTTCGTCGAACAATTGCAACTACGCCTAAGGAATATTATCCGCTAGATAATTCATCCGTGCGGTCTATAGAAACAACAACAACCGTGTCAGACGTGGGCTCACAGTCGGAAGATGATGATTTCTATCAACTAAATACACCCAGAACTAAGCTGCAACAGTCACAAGATACTCGCCAGCGTCGTTCGGTCTCATTGAGCAAATCTGGCGTTTTAACCACGTCATATACACGTGAGATTCAGCAGCCGCATTACGAGGAAGACCAAGACGAGGAGCCAGAGGAAGAGCCACAAAGCTATACGTATCAGCGCCCAATGGTAACGACAGCACCTATACACAAGCTGCCTGTCAGTCAGCCGCGCGTTGAGCGCAGCTATCGTCCAGAGCTGAATTTTACGCAAACGCACCTGAACTCGACCAGCTATACAGAAGCACCTAACGAGTTCAATGAGCTTGGCATACAACAGGCGTCACGTAACACTTACAGTGGCTCGGCGGCTCCTTTTAATACGGGTATTGCAACCACATCAGCAATACGCCAACGGCAGAGCAACGGAGAAAGCGGCTTTACCAGAGGTCGCTTGCTGCAGCCCACGTACAAGGCCAACACGCTGTATCCACAGCTGAACGATTTCTATGATCAGCACAACAACTCTATAGAGCCGATGGACATTGAAACAGATAGTGAATCTGAGTCGGAGATTCACCACCAACCCCAGCAGCAACCACAGCAGCAATACCACCACCAACAACAGCGATCATCTGGCAATAATCAAGATTCGCCATACTTGAGTCACTTTTCACGCGAGCTGGATGCAAGGAAACGCTCCTCCCCGTTGGCCAGGCCGCAAATGCGTACAACCATCCAGCAACAGGAGGCTAACACACCCATACAGAAATTCAGAGAACTGATGATAGCCCTAAATCGTACATATAATCTCAAGTTTTACTTTCTTCTAGCACTAGCTGTACTGTTAGCCACATTAATATATGTGATAGTTACGCCCGCAGTCTAAGAAAACACGGGAACATCACTACATATGATAATAGATGAATAGTAATCTGTAAAAACATTCTATGTAGAATTGTTATGTACATAACTTTTTTACATAATGGTTATGGAATATCTGGAAGTTCTATAAATATGGGCATGACTTATCTTAGAATATTAATCTGTACAGGCAATGTATTTGAAATTGCTATATACAAATATTTGTTAGATACAATTCGAACTAAAAAATGGATTTCCGATTATTTATACGTTATAAATTAATTATTTCTGACTGACAAAACGAAATATGAAATATCTTAAAAGATCATCTTAAATTTTTTTCTAAAGTAAATTTTTAACTAACATGATTTGTTGATTAAAATAACCTCTGATTTATATTTTTGGATGTTTATAATATTATTAATAAATATTATAATTATAGCAAAGAATTTTGCATTTCATTGTTACTATAAAACTGTTTAATAAAACGAAAAACTCAACTACAGAAGACTCTTCCTTCAACAATATAGATTTTCTCTGAAAGTACATTTGGACTAGATGAAACTAGAATACAATTTCAACTTCAGAAAAAAACTATATCCTTAAAAATAAACTTTGCAGCCTTTTGGTTTTCGGTATTTTGTTACTTTTCTAAAATTTACTTAAAATATATTAAAAACAAAGTGTGATTCCGATGTCTATCAGAAATTTATGAAGCCTCTCTTCTGAACAATTTTTTTTCTTCATCGTTTGCTTTATCGTTTTTTTATATTTAAATATATAATTAGAAAAATGTACTACATTACAATTATTTTATTAAATAAACTAGTTATATTTAAATGTTTTTTTCTTCAGTATGTTTTGTGTTCTTGTGTGTTTCAGTTATCGGATTTAGTCTTTAGGCTAATATTTACAGGCTATTTAAGAGTTGCAACACAAACAAGTGTAAAATCGTAAAGCTTAAAGAGGGCGCAGGCAAAAACGAAAATGCAGTAATTGTTATTCGTGGATGTAGGCGGATTGGGGACGAATGGAGCGATATGAAGGATATCAACGTGACTGCATTTAATGGGGAAGGAAAAACAAAACACAAATAATCCCTGGCTCAACAATGGCTCTTTTTCAGCTCCATTTAATTGAAATGGAACTTAAATTGGAACGGCGAACCATGCTGGAAGTGTGCAAATGGATCAGCGCCACGGAACCCATGCTGATTACTCTCCGGATCCAGGGGATCTTCGCCATTGTCAAACTGCCGTCGCTTCTCTGGATCGGTAAGCACTTCCTTGGCCGCTGCAATATCAATGAACTTTTTCTCTGCCAGCTTTTTCTCCTCATCCTTGAAATTGTCCGGATGCCACTTCTGTGCCGCCTTGCGATAAGCTTTTACTATCTCTTGTTTGTTGGCATTGCGTTTCACGCCAAGGATTTTGTAATAATCTCGACGTTCCGCCTGTTTTTGCAGTTTTTTGGCCTTCTGGATGCCCTCCTTAGCCCGTGAATTATTCTCATCAATTTCCAATGCCGACTGATAGTCGTGTATGGCATCATCATACATCTCGCTGCCCAGCAGCGCTTCTGCACGATCGCAATACACTTGTGAATCTTTCATAATGTCTAACGCATGTTTGCAGTGCGACAACGCTTTGCCGTACTGTTCGTCTGTCGTATAACAAGAGCAGAGCAGCTTGTGCGCCTCATATCGTATCATCAGCTCCTCGGGCTCGTGTTTGAGAACCGCTTCGCCTGCAACTATGCATTCGGGTGCCTGTTTTTCCTCTCGTGCCGTTTCTGCTGTCACCAGCTGCTTCTCTACTTTGCGCAGTTTCTTGTAGAATGGAAAGCAGAGCTTGTGCTCGGGATCGAATTTAAGGCATTCGCGAATTTCCTTCAGCGCATTGGTAGCATGTCCAATATTATATAGCAGCTGTGCTATATTGTAATGCCCCTCTGTACTGTCTTGTGACAATCGATTGACCTGCCGCAAATCCGCAATGGCCGAGAGCGGATCATTTGTCTTTAGATAGGCATCAGAACGCGCCTGCCTAAATGCCACTGACCATGGTGAGATCTCCAGCAACTGTGTTATCATGCCTATGGCGTTCTGCTCATCATTATTGCTTAGCAGATGCTGCACTAGCTCCCACTGCTCCTTGGCCGGACGCAGTCTTGAATAGTGCTCGTGCACGAGACCATTTTGTGGCTCTTCCCGAAGCACAAGCTCAAAGTCCTGTAGTGCATGCTCGTAGTCGCCGCTCTTCATGTGCACAATGCCACGCTGACTACGCGCTGCTGTAAAGTCGGGCTTAAGCTCCAACACTCGACTGAAGTCCTGAATGGCAAAGCGTGTCTTGCCCAAGGCAAGGTAAACAGTGCCACGCTTGAAGAGTGTCAAATAATTGTTGGGATCGCCCTCTATAAATTGATTAGTGTTATGTCAAGCATAATATAGCGCTATTATTAGTCTTCAATACTTACCCACAGCTGCATGGTAATGCGTCAAAGCATCCGATAGCTGACCGCGTGCCAGAAAATCTTTGCCCAGCTCTAAATGATTGTCGATGTCCGCCTGACTTGGCGCTGCCGCATCTGCGCCTGCATTGAATGACGTGTAACAAAGCAGTTAAAATAACTTGTTATCAATATTTGAAATTTGCGATTAAAGACAAAATTAGAGATGGTCGCGTGCCGTTATTATTAAAACAAGACCATTGCATTAAGTTTTGGTTTCATAGAGGACATTCGGTGCCGTCTGCAACAAAACTATGACTTACCTTCCATGAAGAGCTCCAGCAGCAGCAGCAGGACACATGCAGCCAATTTCTTTTCACCGCTGCCAAGCAGCAGCAGATCGCTCAATGGCAAAGCCATTATGCTGTGTATGTGTGAGTGGGCGTATATGTAGGTGTCTTAACCAGTTGTTATTGAGAGTATAGGCCAATTCTTCAATTTAAATGCGATACACACGTCACACGTTATAGCGTGGCAGCCACTGTCAACTTCTTCTTCTTCCGATTTTCTGTATATCACAGCTGCTAATCTGTACCGTTGCACCCGCTTACTAGATGCTATTGTATGTTGTTGTCGGTCTTGCTGTATAGTTTTATCCGTTTTTGGGAGCAAAAAAATATAAGCTTGGTAGTTTCTTTGTTTAATATACGCATAAATAGTACTACGCAATTTGTTGCTTTGTGTCCATTTCGATCGGTAACCGACTCGCTATTGCACTTTAGCAGATACGTTTGCTTCAATTTTGGTAGAACTTGCTGCTTAAAAACCTAAACACTGACGTGTTATGCGAGCTATAACAGCCCAATAAAATAGCGTTGCCAGACAGCGCAGCGGCATCTGATGTTAGCAACTTCTGGCAGCTCCGTTAAGAACAGGGCTGTTAGATAATAAAAAGCACTTTTTCACTGAACAACATGCGATAGTTATCACGTTTCAAAATTTTAATTTAAAGTGCTTTCCCACCATATAAAAAAAATTATATCTTCCAATTTAAATTTAATGTATGTATGTATATGGAACTCGAATTTGGTAAATATACATATATTGCACTACCACAACTAATATAGAATGTACGTTTTGATATATCTTAATATATGTTTTTCGTCTCATAATTGTAAATGTAAATGTGTTTAATTATATTTTTTTAAATAAATGCAATTTCTTTTTTGAGCATTAGCCTAAATACAGTTTTATAACATTTATTCTATCACTGAAATGGTCATGTATTGTGCATTATGTGAAAGACATAGACATATGTTTGTAGGTATTCTATATCAAAGATTTGGATGGACAAAATACTTTTTATGTGAGCTTAAATGCGGCTTATAAGGAAAATAGATTTAGTATAATGAAATTTGCCTACAGAGAATAGAGCTTTCATACAACCATACCCTGTGCATGATCCATATGGAAATGTGTATACCTATAATGAAAGTTTAGTCTTATGATAGGGTTAAATGGAGGGTCTACGATTTAAAAATTCTTTGATGGGCGTGACTTTTTAAAAGCGGTTTCACCCTTTGAGTATTATAGTATATCTGTTGATGCTTTGCTAATGGAATAATTGTATAGTATTCTTTCAGCTGTTCCACTTGGATTCCGTATCATTGGTACAATTTAGTTAATCACAATATTGATCAAACCATCCAGCGTTTCCTTAGAATGCGACTGGTTGCCAGCATGTGCCTTCTTCATATGATCTGAAAATAATATAGTTTATATGAAATAATTCACTTCATTGATTTCAATATATATGTATGGAAATTACTTTTAAATTTGATGTGGGTGACAAAGCGCTCTTGGCACAGATCACATTTGTAGTATGTATTGCCCGTATGGACTCGTTGATGCAGGCGCAATGACTTTTCAAACAGATACGACCGTCCACAGGTCTCACAGTTGAAATTCTTCTCAAGAACTGCAAATATAAATAACGTCTTATAAAAATACCAAATTCAACGATAAGTTATTATTAATATATATTATAAAGCAGGTATTTTTGGTTTGACATTTGTTTTTTGATGAATGCTCAAAAAACTATTATATCTGGAGACAAAATTTAGTTTTTAGAGATGACCTGAATCTAGTTTATACAGACTCGGGTATTATTGCGGCATATCGACTAATTGCATTTGAGACAGAAGTAGATTTTAGACGCTTGAGACTTTTCATTTTATTTTTAGATCTACCCTAGATCTCGCATATATATATCCAGAATATATAAGTATTTAACGGGATCACTTACCCTCATGGCTGCGCATATGCTGAGTTAGGACATATTTCAAGGCAAAAGCCTTGCCGCAAACATCGCACACATTGGGCTTTTCATTGACATGGGTTTTCATATGCCACTTCAGATCCTGAGCACGCTTATAGCGCTTGGAGCAGTGCGAACATGCATGCAGCCGATCCGTCGAGTGGACAGCCATGTGACGGTCCAGGGCGGACTTCATGTTGAAACGCTGAGAGCAGCTACCGCACTGGAAGAGACCCGTATACTGTCGTTCCCGTTTGCATTTGATCACTCGCTTATTGTTTGCAATGATTGGATTAGAGGACGCTTCGCGATGTGTATGATCGAGGGTCATGTGCTGGATGAGCTCCTGCTCGTGGTCAAACTCTTGGCGACAGGACTGAAACATACACTCGCTTCGCTCCTGATGGGTAAGATTTTCCGTGTGCCGCTCAAGCATATGAATGCGCTTGTCCACATAGGAGGCGAAAACTTTTCGAACGAAAGTTAACAGAAAATCAAAGTTTAAGTAAAGAAAGCGAATATATTGGTTACTGCACTAATTTGTGGGGGTGTTATGTAACAACAATTGGGTATTAGTGGCTTGCATGCGGCGCTCCAGGGTTGTGGACATATTATACTCGTTCACAAAGTGGCAATACGGCATATTGGTATTGTAGACCTGTAATCTAATATAAATATGCAATTCTTATGTTCTTAATAAATAGAAAATACGAAATTTGTAAATTGTTGACCAATTTCGCCGGCCAATAAACAACTTGAAATTTAGAGTTTGTATTTAATTTATGTATATCCTTGTCGAATAAAAGGTTCATTAGAGATTCCAAACTTTAAAACTGAACAATTATTGTCAATTTTAAGCGGTGAACGAGTATTATGCAGTCTGTCGGATATGACTTGCAAGGTGTTTGTATTTTTTACAAATTTTCGAAAACTAATAATTAAAAAAAATGATTAAGATATGATAATATATTATAAATATGTATGCACTTTGTTGACATGCTTCATTATTTTATTTTTCTAATAGGTGTATTAAAAAATAGCTGAACCATGTTTACCCTTAACTTGACTAACACAGAACAAAAAGCAGCAGATAGACTCCTTCAGAGTTTTTGGGCAAAAATCTTAAAAGCGTTTGCGATGAGTTTTTGATGATGCAACAGATGTTCTATTTTGAATTATTAATGATTTCTTATAATTACAAAGTCAACTTTCGATTTGTGAGTTATTCTTCAGCTATGACTTGATCACATTTCAATTAATCAATCAATTACTGGAAACTCACAGAATGAAGAGCTTTACTTTTTCTGTAGCACTTTAAATAATTTAGATATCTCATGGAAGCTTTCAAATATGGGCATTTCCAAACATAATAGATCAAATATAAAACAATTTAAGATTGTTCCAGGAATTGCCCATGGTATATTCTCCTTAATGAAACTCATTGAGAGCGACCGACTGATATTCTAAATTCGTTTATAGTGCTCCATTAATCTCCAGTTCCAGATTCAACTCACCCTCAGTGCAGATGGCGCATTTGAAGGGTTTCTCGCCGCCATGCTGTCGATAGATATGCCAACGTAGGGTTTTTACATGTATGAACGCTGTGGGAGATATATGTATTTGTATATGTAAATATATAAATATAATATTACATCGCACAATAAGATTTTAGTCATGGGAATGTTCTCTTATAGGTAGTTTACTTTCTTATTTTTGTATATGCATTGATACATATTAGCATGTATTCTTTTGAATACAGCTTTTCTGTGCGATTCTCACAAGCGCAAGGATGCCAACAAATTAAGTTTTCTAAGTATTCTTTCTTACGCTCATGTCTCTTCCAATGTTCGCTTCTTTCTCTTCCGCTCTCTCCTCTCCTATTTATCACACTTCAATTTCGCTATCTCGGTGACAAATTTTATTTTTAAGCAAAAAAGATGAATGAAATGCTTATGTGTTGTAGATATATTAAATATAAGTTATTATATGTACATATGATATAAGCAAGCGACCCACCTTTACCACAAAACCCGCAATACTCGCTCTTACGGCAGCCCGTTGAATGAGTTGCCTCATGACATTTGAGGTGTCGTTGATTGATGAAAAGCCGGTCACAGCCGCTGTGGCGGCATCGGAGCTGACGCTCCGGCTTGTGCCAGTTCATGTGGTAGCGTAGGCTTTTGCGCGTAAAGAAACGTTTCTCGCACATGCTGCACTCGAAGTCCGTTTCCGAGTGATACTTCTCAATGTGATGGTCGAGATTGTGGCGATCTCCATACTTCTTACCACACACCTCACAGACATAGTGTTTGACCACATGAACACTCTTCATGTGGACGGTGCGCGATGCGGTATCTTGAAAACATTCAGTACATTCTGGGCAGTTGTAGGGTTGATCCGGATCGTGGCAAACGCTTATGTGCTCTAGTAACTGGTGCTGTAGTTCATAGCTTTCTTGTGGCTTATAGCAGAATTTACAAGCATAGCTTACGCTAAATGAATTATAATCTGAAGCTAAGTCGGGTTCTTCAGCTGATGGTTGCAAGGATTCGGTTTCGATAATGTTAATTGATTCCACAAAGATTTTTATGGGCGTGGACGATTTGGCGTCAATAATGGCAGTGTTATCTGTTTTTGTTATTGTTGTTGTTGCTGTTGCTGTTTCTACTTCTGTTGCTGTTGTGGTTTCTGTTACTGTACATATTTTCGTCTGTGCTTCTGGTTCATCATCAGCATCAACTTCTATAATTTCTTCATCATTTCTATCGTACAGCAGATTCGCGTCGATTTTATCAAAAATGTTCGACAATTTTAATTGTGCGTCCTGGCATGCCATGCGAAACGTGTAAACTGAGCAAAACTTTGAAAAGCAATCGCTACAAATTTTTTGTGGCAGTCCATCATTTGGTGCGATCTAAATAGTATTCAAAGGAGTCCATAGTAAAAATTGAAGTTAAAATAATTATCCACGCAAAATTGCTTAAGGCCCATAAGAGAAATATACGTAAGCCCACTCATTGAACTCTTTAAATTTACGTTACGCTTGCAACACTGATTAATTATTTGTTATCGATAAAGCCAACAAACTATCGTTCGATCGTTACTCAGAGTGCAACAGATTTATTTTTGAATGTCGATAAGTTGATTCTTACCGATAACCCCATACGCACCGTTGCACGATCAAAAGCTTAATTGAAATGCAACGCACAGACGTTCACAAAGTGAAATGCACTTTGCATTTGTTTACTTTTCTGTATTTTAGGCGTGGACTCACCTGTAACTTCCAGTTGACAAACTCTGCGCGTATTTGCGCCATTTCACTCTGCCAACGCGTTGGATGAAACATATCCAGCCAATAGTTGTTGCCATTTTCGAAATCGCACCTAGCACAGGTGCGACACGTTTCCATGGCTGCAGCAGTAAACAAACTGAACAGTCAACATCAAACCGCGACGCCCAGCACCAAGTTGCAGCAGTCAGCAGACATACAAACATGCACACTATTAGAGCTTGCATATACATATGTATGTATGTATTTCTGCATGTACATATTTATATATTATTATGGCTTTGTTTTCGCGTACATGCAAAGTTATGCAACTTTAGAAATAACTCTAAACACACAACCGCACATATACAGCTAAAGTATTTGGCCACAGATGGAATTGGCTACCAACATCTGTTTCATTTTCAAGCTTTCGCATTTGGATGCTGTGAGCCTGCACCACTTTAAATATTTTTGTATGTTCCTTTACACCAATTGATGGGAGCAGCGAATAACTGGATTATTTAGCTACATCCTTAGTCAAACGCGAGATGTTGTCTGCGCCGCACTCCCGCCTGAACTGACCTTCACTATGTGCTTAAGCGAGTCTGTGTAGAGATTGAATTCCCACACATACACCCACATAAAATCACACTCAGACAGAATTGCAACGGGCGCATGTGTGTTAGCCCACCCCAGCTTTCGGACCCACTCAGCTGATTTGCTTTGTTTTTGTACTTGCGCAAAACCCAGATGGCCAATATGCAAAAGCTTAAAAAATTTGCACAGCAAAAAGAGCTTTGCTTGATGTAAAATATAAAGATATTTTTCTATTTTGTTGCATTTCAGTTAGTGTTTAATTTTATATTTTTAACTTTTGACTCTAGTTTAAATTGTAATATAGGTTATTATTTTTTTATGATTTTCTAGTATTTTAATGGTCTTCTATTTATTTTAATGGATTGCGCTTTTTAAATATAACGCTCGATGATTGAGTTTGAATTCGATAGATTCACAATAGATTTGAAATAATCGTTTATTATTTACTAACCTTGTTTGTAAGGTATAGGAGATTTTATTGAATTCATAAATAATATATATTTTATATGGTTCCATCCAAGACTTTCACTCCCTAATCCCTTCAACAAACAGTCAAATTGTTTTCTTAATTACAATTTATTCTTAATTTTATATACAGAAGCATATACACAGGTATATAGATATATATTTCTAACTATACACTTACTATAGAGACACCCTTAAGCAGATGCTCCACTCTTTATTAACTGGGCGGCAATATACCCAAAGCTCGTAAACACAACTTGGCCGCATTCATTTTGGCCTCCTTCTTGTTGTTACAGCCCTGGGTGGGCGTATAAGTCTGTCCATTGATCTCCACGGAAAAGAGGAACATGCGGCTATGCGACGGACCCGAATCGTCCCTAAGCGTATATTGCGGCGGCGTCCATTTGTTTTTCGATGTCAGCTCGTTGAGCACACATACGGGATGCTTGTCCTGTGCAGTGAGTGCAGCCTGTGCAATATTTGTGGCACTTGTGTTCTTTGGGGCTCGTACGCCTTGTGGGCGTACGGGCTGCTGTTTAATATCCTCGCGCGAGATGAGGCCACGCTTGTCCAGCTTAACCATTAGCTGTAGTGGCTGCAGAGAGCCGGTCTTGGTGCGACCCAAGCCTTCGCCCGGTTTCCAGCCCATTTTTTGCAGCAGAGCCATACCCATGCCGCCCGTAACTGGTTTGGTGGAAGTTAACTGATCCCGACGTGCCCACAGCTGTGGACCGCTGTTCAGTTCATGCACCTTCATTACCTGAGCACCAGTGCTTCCCGTAAACTGACCAGGCAGAAATTTTGAGCAGGCCCAAGAGGACATGTCCCTCTGAGCATTGTACATCATTTTTAAAGCCTCCGAATCGGCGGGATTATCCTGTTGAATCGTACAATTTTCATTGATTAATTGTAATTGCATTTATTTCAATTACTCACCTGCAGGCGCCTTATGGCGCTAAGACGTTGTGTAATTATGCTCGATACATCCATGCTGGGTGGCGTCGACTGCGGAAATATTGAAGCGTTGGGTACATGCGCTGCTGTGGATGGTATGGGCACCTCTGGCACAAAACGTTCTGGCCGATGAGCTGGAGCAGAGGAAGGAGCAGGAACAGGTGCAGAAGCCGGTATAGGAGCAGGAGTTGGAGCAAAAGCAGGCACAGATTGCGGTAGAGTTACAGGCATAGGCGACAGGCCATTGCAATCTTCGTTGAGATTCGCAGCAGGCTTGAAGGCGGGCTCCTGCTGCTCTTGCTGTGGTATCGTCTTGGCAAAGACATTGCGTTGCACATCTTTGAACATATTGGTGGCCTGTTTGGCGGGTGGCAGAGTAGGCAACGGCGCCAGCGATTCTTTTGGATCGACTGGCACCCAGACCTCAGACATACGATGAACCTGACCAGAGGAGACGGGAAATTGCATGGTTATAGCCTTGGTCTGATCATCGCGACGCGTGGACGGGGGCACTATGGGTGTGGAGTTGCGTATGTGCATAACAATCGGTTCGCGCTCCTTGAGCTGAAATGGATGATGAAATGCCTTGGCATTGCCATTCTTGTCAACATCCGAATCCTCATCTGAGCTAAGATCAGAAAGCATTTCACCGTTAGAGATCTTTTTGCAAAAGTCAGTGAGATCCTGCACACTGCGTCCGCCGTAGCGCATTTTAAGCAGCACCTTATCCTTCACTTCCGGCGTCATCTCGGCTACACCGGCCATGTTACCTCGCTTAAACATGCTGATCGCATTACGACGCGCAATCTCTAACAAACGTTTCTTATCAATGCCCAAATCTCTTGACCGGGAACGCGTTCGAGAGCGGGAACGAGAGCGTGTACGCTGCCTGGTGTTCGCGCTGCTCTGGTGGCGTGGGTGGCGCTTATTATCATTGGACTCTATCTTAACACCTCCGTAGAAACGACGTCTTCCATTATTGGCCTTTTCGCGCAGATATGTCTCCTCATCAGACAGTGAGAGCTCGTCGGATTGACGCCGCTCCATCTTAATCTTAACGGATTTGCCATTGTTAGCCTTGGTGCGTGCATGCTTGTCCTCCGATTTTTCCTGATAGCCATTGTAAAAACTATTGTGAAGTCTATCTCGGTCGCGCTCCCTTTCCCGCTCACGCTCTTTTTCCTTCTCTCGCTCCCGGTCACGTGGCCGCTCTCTTTCCCGTTGAATGCTATGGTCGTGCTCTAGTGCTTCCTTTTTTGCTGGCACAGCTACTGCATCCGCATTCGCTATAGCGTGTCTTTTGCGTGAGTCTATTCTTTCCTCGACCTTACCTATGGTGGTGCTTGTCTTCTCTTTGGATTTTTCTCGATCCTTGTCTTTGTTCTTGTCTTTGCTATCCTTGTGTTTGTGTTTGTGCTTCTTTCGCTTATGCTTGTGCTTGAAGTTGCCTTCAGCGGAGGCAACATCTGTGTCGCTGCATTCGCCATCTGATTTAATTGGTTTGTTACGCGACCTTTTTTTCTTCACCCTTTTTGATTTCTTATGCTTCTTTAACAGATTCTTATCGTCCAGCAACTCAACGGGTGGCGCTGCATTAAACACGCCAAATAGTTCGGCAAGTATTTCATTGGAGGATTTAACGGGTGCTATTTGCTTTTTGTCGTCTTGCGACGAATCGTTGCTGTTGTCACTGTCAGTGTCCGATGCCGTAGGAGGCGTGGTACTTTCAGTTTTCACCTTCGCATTTAATGCGCCAAGCTTTGCTTCGATCTCTGCGTCAATCTTCTCACGTTTCACCCTGACAACCAATGGAACATCACCCGTGTTCTTCGTTTGCTGTGACTGCTGTTCCAGCGTGCTGGCGCTCTCCGTCTTTTCAGTCATTTCCGCTTTTGCGTCATGCGGCACCGTGTAGTAATATTTATCCACATCGACTTAGAATATATTTTTAATATGTAAATATACATATATACACAAATGTTTTAGTTTTTGCACGCCTAAATCATATCAATCGATAGATTTGTTGGCCAAAATATTACCAAAAAATATTTTGCACATAACTAATAGTGATGTTACAATAACGATATTTTTACTTGCAGCGGTGTAGTTTATTAGTTTACAGCCCTGATAAATGGAAGCGCAGCCAACTTTAGTCACGTCGCTGTCACGAATTGCAATTTTTATATCAAAAGAAGGTTTAATCACTATATCGAAGGCTTGTACGGTGTCAAATCGTAAATGTAAGTGTAAAATTCAACAGCTCTTTAATTAGTGGTAATTTATATATTTGGATCCACGTTGGCAATATTCCTAAACGCCATTTCTTTTTTGTCTTATTTTTTCATCGCCTGGTGGCTCTGCCCTTCTTCTCCTTGTCCCCTTCTGCCACTGTCATTGTCATCGTGCTGCTTTGCCATGCAATTGTGTTGGTTCTCTCGATGTCGATTTTGTCGGAACTAACGAACGGACGTCTGTCTACGGTGCTCTCTGCTATGCCCCGCGCTCTGGCCTTTTGTTTGTGTCGGTATTTGTGTGTATGTCGTTAAATTTTCATTGCGCGTATAATTGAAATAACTAACAGAAGTGGACAACGAAAAATAATATATATAAGCCACGAACTTATTTGGAAATTTAACAGAATAAGTCTCTCACTTTGGATTGGAGGTTATTGGTAGACTCATATACCCACAGCTATATATATAGATATATATATTTATACATACATATATATATTTACCAACATACACATTGAAACAGTAAAATGACATCGCTGGATCAAAACCGCTTGCAAAATTTTAAAAACAAAGGAAAGGATCAAGATGTATGTTTTGCTCAAGTTTTTTGCACTTTATAAATTGTTCCTAATTAATTTGAATTATTCAATCAACAGGAGATGCGCCGTCGCCGAAATGAGGTGACAGTAGAACTGCGCAAAAATAAACGCGATGAGACGATTCTTAAGCGTCGTAATGTCCCTAACATCGACTCGAACACAGATGAGGATGAGCAATTACCCAATTCGATAAATTTAAAGAAACTTGGTCAGGCCGCCTCCGATCCATCGAAGCCGGAGCAACAGTTGGCCGCCGTTCAAGCTGCACGGAAATTGCTATCATCGGACAAAAATCCACCCATTGATGATCTGATTAACAGCGATATATTGCCTATTCTAGTTGAATGCCTGAAGCAACATAATCACACAATGCTCCAATTTGAGGCCGCATGGGCATTGACTAATATAGCCTCAGGAACTTCCGATCAAACCAATCAGGTAAGAGCTATTCATATTATTTTTGGATGAAAGAACATATTCAATTCTAGCACGAATATTTCTGCTGTCTAAAATTAAGGATACATTTAACATTTAACTGAGTTTGGACTCTATTTCAAATATAAAGATAGCACATATTTTTGGAAATTTAAGTATCGCAAGCATTAGTTCATAAGGTAGACCTAAGATATAAATGGCCGATTTATAACTTAAACAAAGAGACTTAGCGAACATGAAGAAAAACGTGCATAGAAACAGACGGGCAAATGGAAACTATATCAACTTAGCTATTGATACTGTCTGAATATAGTATACACATTATAATACAGTTCATCTATAATTTATGGGGTCAAATATGTCTCTTTCAGTTTGCTATACATTTCGTAATGGGTGCAAACACAATTAAGCTTTAAAATGTCATTAAAAATTTGTAAAATATTTACTTATATTTCTATATAGATTTTTCCCTAATATATAGAAATGTTGCTGATATATGGCTCAGATCATATTATTGTACTGAATTTTTCGTTGTTTTCTCTTTGCTATGTAGGTGGTTGCTGCCGGTGCTGTGCCGCTCTTCCTTCAACTGCTGAATTCACCCGCTCCGAATGTTTGCGAACAAGCCGTGTGGGCGCTGGGCAATATCATTGGTGATGGTCCCTTGTTGCGTGATTTTGTTATTAGGCATGGCGTCGTGCAGCCGCTGCTGTCGTTTATAAAGCCAGATATACCCATATCGTTTTTGCGCAATGTCACCTGGGTGATTGTGAATTTATGTCGAAACAAGGATCCGCCGCCACCAGCTGCCACAATACATGAAATCCTGCCCGCACTCAATGTGCTGATTCATCACACGGACACTAACATCCTGGTCGATACAGTCTGGGCCATTAGTTATTTGACCGATGGCGGCAACGATCAAATCCAAATGGTAATTGATAGCGGCGTAGTGCCAAAGCTGATACCGCTGCTGGGTAATAATGAGGTTAAGGTGCAGACAGCTGCATTGCGTGCTGTAGGCAATATTGTAACCGGATCGGATGAACAAACGCAGGTGGTGCTCAATTACGATGCTTTATCGTATTTCCCAGCGCTCCTGTCGCATCCAAAAGAAAAGATACGCAAAGAGGCTGTCTGGTTTTTGTCAAACATCACCGCCGGAAACGAATCCCAGGTGCAGTTTGTCATTAATTTTGGCTTGCTGCCGAAAATCATTGACAACCTGAGCAAGGGCGAATTCCAGACACAGAAAGAAGCAGCTTGGGCCATTAGTAATCTTACTATTAGCGGCAGCCCCGAGCAGGTATTTACATTAATCAAGGAAGGCGTCATACCGCCATTCTGCGATCTGCTCTCATGCCAGGACACTCAAGTGATCAATGTAAGATCTCGCTTCAATTGAAACTACTACAAATCATTTACAAACTATCTATTTATTTATTTATGTAAAGGTCGTGCTCGATGGTCTCAATAATATGCTCAAAGTGGCCGCATCACACATGGAGGAGGTTGCTAATTTGATTGAGGAATGCGAAGGACTCGCTAAAATTGAGCGTCTGCAAAACCATGAGAACGTTGAGATCTATAAGCTGGCATATGAAATTATTGAAAAATACTTTACAGAGGTAAACACTATAATTTTTTGATATGTATATTAATCCATTAACTTTCATTATTTGACATTTAAAGGGCGAACAATCTAATCTGGCACCAACCTCTGATGGCACAGAATACAGCTTTGATCCCAATACAGACAAAGTACCAATGAACCCCTACAATTTTTAATACCAATGGCTGAGCAAGACCGTATACAGAGAAACACACGTCTTAATTGGTGTATACTTAATTGGTATACATATATAGCATATAGCAATTCAATTTCAAACGATACTCTGTGCTCATTTACCAACTACAACACAAAAAAAACCAACCAACCGACTCTGACAGCAACAAAAAAAGGAAAGAATCAAATTAATGCACATTCTATATGACAGCTTGGTTAGATACACATACACACACACACACACAGATAACGCATAAAATCGTTACAACAAAATAATTTTTCTTAAATTTTTGTGTTTCCCATACATAGCTTATGTATGTAAAAAAAAAAAAACAAAAAAATTAAGCGGAGAAGATTTTCTTAAATTTGTCTGATGCATGTTGCAGTAGTTAAATCCTTTTTATATTATTTATGTTTTCAATCAATTGAATAAGTTAAAAATTATATTATGTCACTTCCATTTAAGTAAAAATAATTTTTGAAAACGGGCTGCAAAGGCGCAAACGAAATTTTGCAACTGCAAGAAATGTGCTAAACAAAACGCAAAAACAATAACAACTAAAAACAACACGCAGGAATGATAAAAATTGTAGAACTATTTGATTTGTAATGAATAATTTTAATGACATGTACGCCTTTGATTTGTAATTGAAATTACATATACATTTCTAACATGAAAAACGATAAAAAAATACGTGCATATTCTCTAGTTTTATTTTCAATTGCAGGAAAAGCCTAAACAAAAACACCTGATGTATACATTCTGAAAAAGAGGAAAACACTTGTGTTTACCTAAATGCGGCTTAAAGCTGGGCTAAGCAGCTAATCAAGTTACAGCTGTATATATGTATATATTAATATAAATACATACATAACATGCGTGCTGCGCAATAGACGCAGTTTAGGCTTATAATTCTTTATTTTGCCCCACTGTGCTGAGAGTTGGTTGAGTTGTATGTATTGTGAATCACACGATATGTATATGTATTTAAATTTTATACAGACTGCAACACATACATACTTTTCATTAGAGTGAACCTTAGGGGCTAATTTAGTCGAGAACAGTGTTGGGTAGTTGATGAATCAGCCGATTTGCCGAAATACACAGTACCTATCGATAGCTTTAATTATTATGTCGACGTTTGCCGCCTAAATGATTATCATTTCTTCCAGCTTTCAGTAGCTTAACTTGAATTTATATTTCCAACAAATGTATATGTTTTGCCCTAAAATTATTATAATTTTTATTTTTATTTAGTTTTCATGGTCTATTTAAATCTTAATCTAAGCTTAGATTTCCCATTCATCTATTTTAAATATTTTATAAAACAGAACTTTTGAATATTTTCAATGCTAAAGAGGCTTACATCCATGTAGTGTTAAACAGATAAACAAATGTGTGCATTGCAATTGTCGCGTGATGCACTCAGAGCAAAAAACGATATAACCTGCATCTTAGTGTCTATATTTAGCATCATGTAATCGTATTTGTATTTGTTATTTTTTTGTCTTGTGAATGCATTTGTCTGAGCTTTTAGATGTTTCCGTCAACATTACGCTGCGGAAATTGGCGGAGCCATTTAACGATTGTCAAGGCCAAGGACGTTGCGTTTCGTTTGCAATGAGAGAGAAAAAGTGTAAGAGAATTGGAACGATTGAAAAGTTTTAAGATCCACTCTTTTTATTAAAACCAGTTTGTTTTTACTTTTCTTGCAATTTGATTTTTAGAAAGTCTAAAAATTCATGTAATAGACTTCTCAGCTGTGATTCGTGTATGTATAGGTAAGCGTGTGTGTAATTAGGTCTGCGCTCTCTCACCCCTCAAGCTCTCACAATCATACAGAGAACGAGAGAGCGAGAGAAAAGAGCGCCAAGGTATGTTATGTATTTTAATCAAGTCTACGCTTTTGTTATTCACGAGCGCTAAAGCAATTTAGTACGGTTGAAACTGTCAGTCCGTACAATAGTCACAGCTCGCATTTGCCGTTGGTTTTACTAGATTTTTTTCTTCCGTTAATTTCGCACAAACAAAATGTCATCGACAGCCGCTCCCGCACCCGCACCGCCGCCACCAACACCACCATCAGCTTCTTCCGTGGCCTCTGGAAAGGGCATTCATACAAAGATCTACAATGGCATGATTGGCGTCTGTGACAAATTTGTGCCAGCCAAAATGCGACCACTTTGGATGCATCCAGCAGGTGGGAATACAAAACAAACATTTGTACACATCCATATGTTTAAAAAATATACCACGTGTCGCATTTGTATTTACATTAAAATATTCCATAGGTCCAAAAACCGTTTTCTTCTGGGCACCAATTTTTAAATGGGTAAGTCAACTATATCAGACAGATTGACAGACAGCCTGTTACATAATGAAGACTGCATGACCTTCGCTATTTTTCATTATCTCTGTCTGTCGCTGATATAGAAAATCTGAATGACATTAATACGCAAAATTCTTTGAGAGTGTGCGATTTGCTTTTTATGAACCTTTGTTTATACCGTCCGAGTAAAACTTGTTGGATGTGATTTTGTTGTTGTTTCACGCAGCTGGTTGTTTAGAGAGGGAGCACGCGATAAGTGTACATTAGTGTGTGCGTGAATTATTATTGCTTTTCAAGTATTTATTTATATTACACTCATAAATCGCGCATACTATAATGATGATAACAGTGGCTAGCGCTGTAATAGTAATATGTAATGTTAATTAACATAAATACAATTACATTTCAATTATTTTATTATATATATTATAGTATTTATTGCACGCGCCATAATAATGATATCGTAATCACAACATCAAATCTTAATTAACATAAATATGTTTGCGTTTTAATTATTGTTATCAATATTTTTATAGGGTCTTGTCGTTGCTGGGTTAAGTGATTTGGCCCGTCCGGCGGATACAATTTCCGTAGCAGGTTGCGGCGCATTGGCAGCCACAGGCATTATCTGGTCTCGTTATTCGTTGGTGATTATACCCAAAAATTACAGTTTGTTTGCTGTCAATATGTTTGTCGGGCTAACGCAATTAGTGCAGCTGGGACGGGCATACAACTACCAAATGGAGCAGGACAAGTTAAAGACGGAGGCGGATGATAAGCCAGCCTTAGCTCAATAAACCACTGCACACATCTGCTAATTATTCATGATGTGAACACGCACAACTTATATCGCATATCGAACCATTGCGCTTTACATTAAGTTGTGTTTTAGTTTAAGCGACTGGCCACTTTACATAGTGTGTTATTGTTGCCTTACAAAACGTGATTCGTACTGCTTAAGTTTGTAAATGTTTGAGGCTTCAAGTATATTTTTAATTTCACGTAGCATTAATAGAATTTTTGTGATTTTTGTCATTTTTGTCAAAAAACGAAAGAATATATGAATAAATACATTCTCAAGACTGTAAAAAGTAAATGATTATTTGAATTGGGGCGCGCTTACTTCGCCGATATGTATCGATAACAAATGAGTAGTTTTGTTGGGGTGGGTGGTGAATAGTCTTCACATCGCTGTGAACAGCTGTTTACACAAATAAAATATTTTCTACTTCATTCGCTAAATTAAAAATTAGTTTTAATTATGAATTTAATAAGTGGTATTAAATTGTATATTGAAAAGATGTGCACAGAGTCTGGACCCGGCATGAAAATCATATTACTAGACAAGGAGACGGTGTGTAATACCCCAAAATTCTTATTAAATTGTTTCACAAGGTTCTCCCCGCCATTTCCTCAATTTTTAGACGAGCATAATTTCAATGGCATTTAGTCAATCTGATATGCTACAACGCGAGGTGTATCTCTTTGAACGCCTGGACTCTGGCCGTTCCAACGAACGCTTAAAGTACCTCAAGTGCATTGTTTTTATACGCCCCACAAAGCAAAATATCCAACTGCTGGCCAACGAGCTGCGCAATCCCAAATATAGCGCCTATTTTATATGTAAGTGTAACAGCTGGCAGTCATTTAAAAAGAAAACACATTAATCGCTTAATACAGATTTTAGCAACATTATACCACGCACTGATATTAAATATCTGGCTGAATGCGATGAGTCAGAGTCTGTGCGCGAGGTGAAAGAATTGTATGCGGACTATTTGTGCGTTAATCCCAATTTATTCTCACTGAACCTGCCCAACTGCATGACAAATCTTAACTGGCTACCCGATTCATTGACACGCAGCGTGCAGGGCATTACGGCTGTGCTGCTGTCGCTTAAATTGAATCCGGTTATACGATACCGAGCTGGGTCACAAGTGGCGCAACTGTTAGCCAAGCTCATCTACGATCAGACAACCAAGGAATCAACTCTATTTGATTTTCGCGGCAATGTGGATGGTTCTGCACCACCGTTGCTCCTGTTGCTGGATCGCAGAGATGATCCAGTGACACCATTGCTGCATCAGTGGTCCTATCAAGCCATGGTGCATGAGCTGCTGAATATACGCAACAATCGCGTCGACTTGTCTGAACGTTCCAATGTACCCAAGGAGTTTAAGGAGCTGGTGCTCTCCGGTGACCAGGATGAGTTTTATGGCAGCAATATGTATGCCAATTATGGCGAAATTGGTTCTACTATAAAACAGCTAATGGAAGAATTTCAACGCAAAGCCAATGATCATAAGAAAGTCGAGAGCATTGCTGATATGAAGAACTTCATAGAATCCTATCCGCAGTTCAAAAAAATGTCCGGCACTGTGCAAAAACATTTGTGTATCATGGGAGAATTATCTAGCATTTCGAATAAGCGAAATCTGTTCGAAGTATCGGAGTTAGAGCAAGAGATGGCCTGCAAGGCTGAGCACTCGGCACAGCTGCAACGCATTAAAAAATTAATTGCTGACGAACGGGTCCACATCGATGATGCGGTCAAGCTAGTGGCATTGTATGCACTGCGGTACGAACGCCATGCAAATTGTGATACCTCCGGATTGCTACAGATTATCAAGACACGTGGAGGTAACACACAGATTGTACCCGCTTTGATTGAGTACGCGGGCATGCATGTGCGCCAGGGCGATCTATTTAATATGATGCGCATCACTGATGCTGTAAAGTTGACAAGAATACTAATCAAAGGGCTCAAAGGTGTAGAGAATGTATTCACACAGCACACTCCTTTGCTTAAGGAAACGCTGGAGGATGTGTTCAAAGGCCGTGAACTGGACCCCATGTATCCAGCCATCAATTCTGAGCTGGTGCCATATCGACGACCACCACAGGAGGTAGTGGTTTTTATCATTGGCGGTGTCACTTACGAAGAGGCATTTGCCGTACATCAGCTGAACAATGCTGGCTATCGGGTGATCCTTGGCGGCACCACCGTGCACAATTCCCAAAGCTTTATCAACGAAGTGCTTGCGGCCACGATTGGCACACAATTCAAACATACCAAATCCATGCTTAAGTATTGCTCCCCAGATAATCTTTAAGATCCCCAGCTTCATCTTATTCCATATACTACGATAAAAATAATACTTATTGCTATTGTTAACTATTTATGTATAATTTAAACCATTTATTATATATCGTTATATAAAATATATATGTGTTTGTATCATATTTTAAAAATCCACAAACTGATATATATACTTTGACTAAATTAGCAACAGTATAAGCTTTACTATGGGAACTTGATAAATAACTTTTCCTCTAGAAAGAGTTTCCAAATTAATGCACATATTCTGACATCCTGATGCTTGTCACCAAAGTGTTTGAAATAGATTCATTGAGAATTTGGGGGAGGTTTCCAAAATCCAAAATATACGATATCTATTTATTACAGAATTTACGGTATCCAAGCTACATTTAAAAAAACAGTCAAATTATCCATTTTTATATAATAAGGAAATGGAATGAGATATCTCTGCCTTTCTTGGTTTACGAATTCATCATACTGATTAAATATATATATATTTTATAGGGACTACCACGACTTCCAGTCTGTTATATAAACTTTCACAAAACCAATTTGCCTGATTTCCCATTTTCCATTTATTTAAGTTATAATACAATTTATTATGCAAAGTTTTGGGAAAACAATTTTCACATTTTTATGAAATAGATACTGTGTGAATTATCATATCTGCTTTACTTGGACAGCAACTGCTTGAAAATATAAGTAGAAACCCAGTTATGAATGTTTAACAGTTTAAATAATGGCTGTCAATGGCTTAAGTATTATACCAGAAAATGGCTGGAAATACCTCCATGACAACCGTTACGCAGGCTACCAAATCCACTTGACTAATAGAAAAGAGAATAGTGATTGTGAAAATAAAGTTGAGTATGTCCAGCAACTATTTCAACGAGATCTGGTACCAGGCGCAGCATGACTGTGAACAACTGGCCATTATCGACTACGAGCGACAACATCAGAATGTGGATACCACCGTAGCTACCATCAGTGGAGTTACGGGAGTTGTGTCTAGCTCTGTGGCTGCCGCAGCAGAATCGAAGTCCCTGCTGCAGGCGAGTATCTATGAATTCTATTTGCGGTACATATGCCTGAGCAATCGATTGGAGGAGGTCTACGATAACGTAAGTGTCAGCAAAAATCACTATTGCCAGAACCATACAACACCTAAATGAGACATCTATAACAGACAGAGTGAGTGGGTACTCTATTCCGCACTTGCTTGAAAAATCATAAATGTTTTCGCTCCGCTCATAAAAAATTTCATTAGTTACGGAAGAGTTATGAAAGCATGAAAGGAACAGATAAGAAGAGAGCTATTCGATCATTTGGACTTTCAAATTCACTTCCCACTTATTAACATTATATAGATCAATTCCACTTCTGTTCCTTGCAGATGATTCAGCCTCAAAAACGTGAACTGGTGCGCAAGCTTTTGGACGCTTGTCTGGGACGTGTGGTGGAGCTGAAGCATGATCTGGTCAATATTGATCTTATGGAGTTTAGCTACAACGATGAGGTAGTGGAGCGTCTGCGCCTGACACCCATGGAAATGGAACTGCGCATTCCACGTTACTTTCTGCGCGAGCGTGAAGAGGAGCTGGAACTACGGAAGCGCACGATGCACGAGCTTCTGATTAAACTGGGCTGGCTAGAGGAGCATCCACTAGAGGAGCCGCTCACCGAGATAGAGGCAATAAGACTGTTGCAGATGCACGAGCGTGCCCGCCAAGGTCGCCTCCGAGCCCACTTTATGAAGGAAATTCGAAAGGAAAAGGGCAAATCGGAAGACCGCACCGATAAGGAACGCACTGACTCCGGCTTAATGGCTGCCATGAAGATACAGAAAATGTGGCGCGGTCATACGGCTCGCCGAATAACACGACGCCGCAAGATGGACGAGATGATATTGATTGGCATGGTGCCACCACCAGCCTCTGTGCTCAAGGAACGTAGCGAAAGGTTTGAGCGGAACAACGAGACGGACGTTCGGCGAAGACATGTGGCACAAAAAAGCTATGCGGCACAGTTCGAAGCACGACAGTTAGCCATACAGGAGGAGATTAAGCTGAAGCATGGTGCCACCATGAAAGAGGACATTGCGGATGAGATTCGAGCCTGGATCAAGGATTGCTATGACAAGACGGGCAAGCTGCCGGATTTTCCTTCTGAGGATCAAGGCGGCTCGCTACACATCTTCAGTCGGCCGGGTACCGAAAGCGAACACAGTCGCTCTTCCGCGCGCTCCTCCAAAGAATCGCGCAAGACCAAAGACAAGTCCAAGTCTCCAGCACGTAGTGGAGATTTGAATGTTAACGACAATCAGGAAGAGGACGTTAACTTTCAACCAGCTGCATCAGTTTGCCTGCCCGATATACGCGCCGAAATTGAATTGTAAGTGTTTCAATTGATTGACTGACTGGTTTATTGACCGTTCTTCCGCAGCTTCAATGATACCTGGCGCGACAAGGATGAGACGGGAGCACTCAGCCAAGCGGCCTACAAGGACATGATTTATGCAGAAAAGTATCAGGAAGTGGAGCTGCAGTTTCGACGCGCCGTGGACGATGTAATGCGCCAGGAACTGGAGCTTCTGCAGACAATGGTAGGAAAAAAGGTAAAGAAGAGTAATAAAAAGACACGACGCTCCGGCAAAAAGAGCAAAAAGAAGAAGGAGAAGGATCTGACACCCGATCGTACAATCGAATCCTTGTACGAGGAGCTGGTCACCAATGGCATCATACGTAAATATCCGGAAATTAAATTAAAACAGTTTCTGGGCGACAAGGCGCTGACCGCACGCAATGGAACTAATCCCTCTCCAGGTGACATACGTCAGGTGCTCACCGAATACTGCATTCTGCCGCTCGGCTCTGAGGCAATACACAACTGTACGCCGCTTATACGTTCCGTACTGCTAGCTGGTCCGCGCGGTTCCGGCAAGAAGGCGCTGTTGCATGCCATTTGCACGGAAGTTGGCGCCGTTCTCTTTGACCTAACGCCAGCTAACATTGTTGGCAAATATCCGGGTAAATCGGGTCTAATCATGCTGATACATCTAGTGCTCAAGGTATCCAGATTGCTTCAACCAGCTGTTATTTATATGGGCGATGCAGAGCGTCCTTTTATGAAGAAAATACCCAAAACGGATCGCACCGATCCCAAGCGTTTGAAAAAGGATTTACCAAAGATGATCAAGAATATTGCCCCCGAGGATCGAGTTTTATTTGTGGGCACTACAAGTTTACCTTGGGAGGCGGATCAAAAATTCCTGCAATCGGTTTATAATCGTTTCATCTATATTCCGCGTCCAGATTATGGCGCCATGTCGCATGCCTGGAAAACGCTCTTACAGTAGGTATTCGCTGTAATCCATTTTTCTGTTGTTTCATAAACCAAATATTTTTCAGCGAATACTCTGGTGGCATTTCCAACTTGGATACCAGTGCCATGGCCAAAATATCGGATGGCTATACCATAGGCGCAATTGATGCTTGTCTGCGCGAGGTGATGACCTGCAAACGTAAGCTACAGCTACGATCACAGCCTCTAACCAATGCAGAGCTCATTAATGTGCTCTGGTGAGAATATATAAATGTATAGATCAAGTTGCCTTGTGTTAATGTTAATATATTCATTCCAGTTCTCGAGATCCCGTCTATCGTGAGGAGGAGGAGGCTTTCGAATCGTGGTGGTCTAAAACGCCATTGGGTCGACGCCGTCAACGTTTTCTGGAACTTGAAGAAGAACGCATGATCGAGGAACAGGCACAGCAGGCCAAGCAGGGCAATGGCAACAAGAAGAAAGGCCTTAATTAAGCCTTTGAAGAAACATTTCCTGTTTCCACTACTGTTTTAGCTTATAAATAAAATCCTTATTGCCGCATTTGCAGCATAGCTCATGTACTGCTAGCTTAAGTGCCTCATGCTCCTTGAGCAGAAGCTGCAGCTCCTGCAGCCTATCTTGCAGCATCGCCTGTCGATCGCCCAGGCACCACAGCAGACTGACATGAAATGAGGGCTTCTTATAAAACTGCTCCAGGCGATAGTCACGCATAACCGAATCCACGCAATTCAAAAGTTCCGACATCTTAATCGTATATGCAGCATCGAGCTGCACCGCCAAAAACGTCCTTGTGCGCTCTTCGTTTGTGTACACTTCAAGCTGGATAAAACAATATTTTATATTTTTAAAAATAAATCATATGTAGTAAGAAGTTTACATACCGAATTCAGCGTGCTATTAAACCTGCAGAACAATATAATTTTATATGTTGTATGCTATATCACAAAAATTATATACACACCTTACACAGCTGTGAAGCGCCTGCTGCAGCGATCGCTGAAACTCGTCAATTTGATGATATTGTAGCACCACAGTTTTGCTTAAGCTCAGATGCAGTGATTCATTAGACTGTAGCTCAATTTGTGGAGCAAGCCTCTCAATCGCTTCCAATTGAAAATCCTTCAGCTGCTCCGCACAAGTGAGGGCGGGTACATAAACAAATGTTGCCCAATTGCCGCGTTCGTGTTTAAAGCTACGTATGCGTCCGCCATGTAACGTCGGATTGTCAAAGTCATCCTCTTCATCATTGTTTTCTAATTTTGTTATCTTGGCGCCCAGCAAGGAAGCAGCTGTGGGTAAAGCCGATCTAATGGATTTTAAATGTAGGGAACATGGTATATAAGTATATGTGACAATACCTCTTTAAGCTGACTGATTTCTGAGTTATTGTCTCTGTTTCCTCGTTTTCAGAGCTGGAGCTGCTGTCATAATCCACTAGAGCCACAATATTCATAATAAGTTATTATAAAGTTTACTATTTTTGCGTCCAAATAATAATGTGACCATATACTTAAAACACCAATCGATTTTCTCTACACAACTCCAGCACGTACGATACAATTGCATATTAGTATCATACATTTTAAGTTTAAAAAGTAGAAGCTAGAGAAATTTGGGCCAAAGATTTCTTAACTTTTATGGAGTTTATTTTAAGATGTACTGCAGGCATGTAAATACTTAAAATTGGCCTATCGATATTTATTTTGCATTGTGGTATATTTTTGTGTCAAAATGAGGTATTTTAAAAATTTTCCTTAAACGTTCACACCGGCGTTGAGTGTGTCAATCAAAAGTCTCTCTCTAATTCGTCCGGTATATTTCAATACACTTATTTATTTTTGATTAATATTCCTGAACAATGCAACTGCATGCGAATCGCTAAATAGACGATAACAAAGTTACTGACAAAAACAATAAATACAGCACAAAATGCAGTTGGGCTCAAAGTTACATGTATACAAGGGCGAATGGGGGCTGCCGTCTATAGATTTCGAATGTATGCGTGCTTTGGTAAGTTCCGTTGCATCATAATCAGCAACTCCTCGCTATCGGCCATATCAATATATATATGTATATGAATTTATATATATATATATTTTATTGTTTTTTTTATTATATACATAATATACTCGTATTAAATATTTGTCTTTTTGGCGAAATTAACAGTGTCTACTGCGTTTCACCCGCTGTCCAATGGAAATTGAAACAAACACAAATCCTTTGCGTTCGGGCGCTGGGAAACTACCGTATCTACAGATTGGCAATGATAAATTTCATGGATATAAAGATATAAAGCGAATACTGGATCTTGAGGTGCGACAATATATGTATACACATACATAAGCCAGGTCAATAAACCACTTGGCTATTTATATCACATGCGATTGCTCTGCATATGTACCAATTGAGCGCGACATTAATATTTGTTTTCGTCTTTCAGGGTTATCCGGTCGATGCGCATTTAAATACGAAACAAAAGCATCTGTCCATTACATACTCGAATTGGGTATTCACACAACTGCATGCCTACTATCATTATTACCTATACGGTGAACCACACAACTATGATACGATGACTCGTGGCCTGTACGCTAAGCGTACACCATTCCCATTCAATTTCTATTATCCTTCAACGTATCAGCGACAAGCAAGCGATGTGGTACAGGTGCTGGGAGGCTTTGATATAAACGATAAGCTGGAAAAGCATGAGGGTGACTATGTAAGTGAATACTATTTATGAAGCTAGCATAACATTAATTAAAAGCCGGAGATCAATACCTTCTGGTTAGTTCTTTAACTGCATTTTCATTAATTCGTAAACTTGTTGCTTGATAAATTCAACAAGTATTCTTGTTATATACTAAGGGCGCTTAAAATCATACCGTATTTATTTATGAAATAAGCCCAATATGTCAAATAATTAACTTAGTCCATCTTTGAGCCACCGTTTCTGCTGTAGAACGAAGGATACTCTTTTGATTGTAACACATCTAACAATAGCTAGGATATTTTGTATATGATCTTCATCCATCTAACCTATAATTTTCTACTTTACAGCTTGCGGCTAATGCGAAAAAGTGTGTTAATTTACTTTCTCGTAAGTTGGGACGAAAAGTCTGGTTCTTTGGTGATACGTACAGCGAATTGGATGCAATTGTCTATAGTTATTTAGCAATTATCTACCACATAACACTGCCCAATAATCCACTACAAAATCACATAAAAGGCTGTCAAAACCTAGTGAATTTCATTAAACGCATCACCAAGGATATATTCCGGAATGAATGCTATAGTTCCATCAAACTAACAAAAGCACCCAGCCAATCGGAAACAACGCTATCGGCATCGGAGCGTAAATTCACGGAGACGGATCTGAACACAAAGATTATCGCTGGCGTCGGCGCCATGCTGGCGATGGGCGCATTTGCAGCTTGGCGAGGCATTTACACTCAGGTTAGCATGAAATCTAGAAATTTATTTCCAATCTTTTATCATAAATAAGTTATACTTGGCTTCAAAGCGAGGACATAATCAAAAAATAAATAGATCAAAATTATATTATATATGTGCCGAAAGAATTCTAAGGTAACTTTAATTATTTTTGAAATTGTTCCGGTATGTGTGTATTGAACATTGCTTAAACTAACAACCAATTTTTTTTAATATCATTTGGTCATAAGCTTTGGAAAACAGTTTTTGCTTGAGTTTCAAACGAAGGCTCAATCAAACTATAAATATAGCAAAAACTAATATAAATTTTTTTAAGGTAATTTTAAGTATTTTGAAATGGTTGATTTTAATTGTTCATAAACTTTCTATTCTAATTGCAGTTAACACGGTCGTCAACGGATTACGATGGCATCGACTACGAGGACGACGATATGGATGAAGTGTTGGATTAGGTACAGTTCTGTAGATATATAGTAACAACAATCGATGTATATTTATAAAACAACGCTGGAAGAAGAGTGAAATCGAAAAGCACAGCAGTCATTTTTCCATATGAACTATTTAAAAGAAAGAAAAAAACAAAAAACATATTAATGTACATACGATTTGAAACTATATAAATTATTAATGCGCCCTAAACTATTTGTCATTGTTTTTAAAACTATTTACCTATATGAAATTGTATGTTATAAAAACGAAACAAAACAAGCAGCAACCAAAACGTAATAAAACGTGCAACTGATGCTGAAAATTTTGAAATAAATTGTTATTTAAATGAAAATAAATGCAATATTGCATATAATTATATAAATATATATATATTATTTTATATATATATATATATATATATATATAATAACTCCCATTTGATGTGTGTTTTGCTTGACTACATTAATGTTTTATTAAAAAACTAAGCTTAGTATTAAAATAGTTTTCATATTGATAATTTTGTGAGTTCCAGAGGAAACTGAAGTCAAGCAATTGGTTTACCTTGACAATCGAAAGTGAATACAATGTATATATATATAGTTATTATAATATATAAGCCATAATGGAATATCTCTAAATGAACGCTCCTCCTCCATTGGCATATTCATGTCTTGAGCGCATCTTGGAGTTTTTTTCGTGCTACACCCACACGATCCTCCTGCTTTCGAATATCATCTTCGGATATTATTACCGCGTGCATTAGCGGCTGTTCGGGATTCATGAATGCCATTGCATTCTTCGTTAAATCAGCCTTCGTGGAGCTCTGGCCATGTACACCGGCATTGAGCATATGCAAGGCGGTGGCCACCGACTGCAATACGGTCTGTTCGTTGACATTGGGGCCAACGGTGCGTATGGTTTTGGGCAGTGATATATCATCGAGTTCTTCGCCATTGTCATGACAGGCGCGCAAACGCTCCAACCGCTTTTCCCAGAATAACTGTTTCGGTTTCTCCTGGCCGCCGTGTTTGACATCATGCTTCACTTTGCTCGGTTCATGATTGCGGATAACCGTCACCGGCTGCTTGAAAATTGAAGCCGTCTGTCGAATCGGTGGCACCAGGGAGACATCCGTGCGCAAATTACGGCTGCAAAAAGTAAACAATTAGATTTCAGTCTTATAGACGATAAAATAAAAGTAATATGAAAATACATGCAATTACAGAATTAGAGAGCAAACAACTAGAAGAAATTTACAAAATTAGAGCTATTATTATTTATAAATTGACCAATTGATTGAATTGTACTAATTTAAATGACTAGTTTCGAAAAATGATGTAGACAGGTGCATGCAAGAGCTCGCTTAGCCAAGGACAATCAACTTGGCTATACCTGAATTCAAATTGTTGTTGTTGCTGTTGTTGTTGTTGCTGCTGTTGCTGCTGCTGCTGGCGCAGATTAGCTGCCGTGGCTGCGGTTATCGATGGCACTGCTGTTATTGAAGCTGGAATTCCCCCACTGTTGATGTTGTTGCTGGAACCGGAGCTTTGCGTTTGAGCTCGGCTATATTTACGTTTCAGGGCATTAGCAGCGTTACTACCTGGGCCAGCATTGCTGATAATGGCGCCCGCTGCATTGCAACGGTATAGCGATATGGATGGCGAAGGCATTTGTCGTTGTATTTGCATTTTACCAGTTTGAAAATCAAAATTGCTGATGTCAAACATTTCGGTATTCAATTGGCGTGCTAATTGTGGTTTACTTTCAATTCGTTTCCCTGTTGGACTATACACATCCAAGAGATGAGCGGAAAGGTTGAGGGTGGGAAAATCGTGTGTGCGTATGTATATGTGTTTGTATGTGCGAGTGTGTGTGGTAAATGTAACAAAAAAATAGTAGTGAGAGTGAGTTAAACGTATTCGTTATCGCACGTGCTGTCACTTGTGTGTATTTGTGATTATTTTACAGTTTACGTTAGTTGCCAGGCTCCACCTTCACCGTGCACCTGCTTAAAGATCAGCCAAGTAATATGCTTGGTTACCTGTAGTAGAACACATCAACGCCCGTGTTGCTGCCCGATTTCTTATGCACTTCTTCGCGTTGCCAGCCCTTAGGTAGTGCGTTGCAATCAACGCGTTTTCTTTCAATTGTAATATTCGGATTCATTTGCATGCTCCAAATTATTTTCTTTTTTGTTTATTTTTCTTACATTTGTGGGAAGCAGCGTCTCGTTCGATACTTTTGCAAGCCGATGCAAGTACTCGCAAGAATAATACGTGATACAAGATTCACTGCTCACAAAAGTTGTCCCTCTGACGTCACATGTGTGTATACTAAGTTGATTAAGATTAACAAGCGATTGGTTTTTGTTGTAAAGAGAACATTATACATGCAGCTCCTTAAAATAGTTTATGTAGATGAGTTAAAATTTTGTTTAGCATTACCTACGTAATATTGTAAATATTATGATTTATGTACTTTTATACTCATTATTCAAACATCAGTGTTGGATAATGCTTCAATACTATTGGGAATGCGAATGAGCGAATAAAGAAGAAGCACCAGTCGACGACGTAAGTAATTTTCGTGTGACTAAACTTTAATTCCACTTGCGTGGTTAAACGATAATTATACATTCATTATTCGAATAATGTAATATTTAATAATACTTAGTTCTTTCAAATTATTAAAATATGTTAACTACATTTTTGCAGGTTCATAAATAGAATAGATTGACAGTCACCGATTTCGTTTTTTGGGATAACAAGAACAAGTGGCAGCTGGAAGCTCTGAGCCAATAAACTAAAAAGGGGAAAATAAATACGAAGGAAAATGTCTTCATCAGCCATATTTGTGCTGGACGTGAAGGGGAAGGTGTTGATATCCCGCAATTATCGCGGAGACAACATTGACATGGCTGTAATCGATAAATTCATGCCGCTACTCATGGAACGCGAAGAAGAAGGTCTCGTCACGCCCATTCTACAGACTTCCGAGACCACCTTTGCCTATATTAAGACAAATAATTTATATATTGTGTCAACCACGCCACGCAATAAGAATGTAAATATTGCGCTCGTTTTTGTATTCCTGCACAAAATCGCACAGGTGTTTGTAGAGTATTTCAAAGAGCTGGAGGAGGAGTCTATTCGCGATAATTTCGTTATAATATACGAGTTGCTTGACGAACTCATTGACTTCGGCTATCCCCAAACGACGGATTCGAAAATACTGCAGGAGTATATCACGCAAGAGGGCCACAAGTTGGAATTGCAGCCGCGCATTCCCGTTGCTGTAACAAATGCAGTATCCTGGCGCTCTGAGGGTATTAAATATCGCAAAAATGAGGTATTTCTGGATGTCATCGAGTCGGTTAACCTGTTGGCAAATGCCAATGGCAATGTGCTGCGAAGCGAAATTGTTGGCGCTATCAAAATGCGCGTCTATCTCTCTGGTATGCCGGAGTTGCGTTTAGGACTCAACGATAAGGTGCTTTTTGAGAGTACCGGACGTGGCAAATCCAAGTCTGTTGAGCTGGAGGATGTTAAGTTTCATCAGTGTGTGCGTCTGTCGCGCTTCGAAAACGATCGCACAATTTCGTTCATACCACCGGATGGGGAATTCGAGCTGATGTCCTATCGCCTCAACACGCATGTGAGTGGAATGTACAATCATAGTCTTTACGAACCAACATTAATAAGTCCTTTCGTACTAGGTCAAGCCGCTTATATGGATAGAATCGGTTATTGAGCGACATGCACATTCACGTGTGGAGTATATGATTAAGGCAAAATCCCAATTCAAACGCCGATCGACGGCCAATAATGTAGAAATTGTAATACCCGTGCCCGCCGATGCGGATTCGCCCAAATTTAAGACCACCATTGGCAGCTGCAAATATGCCCCGGAGCAGAATGCCATCATATGGACAATTAAATCGTTTCCGGGCGGCAAGGAGTATTTAATGCGTGCCCACTTTGGCCTGCCCAGTGTGGAGAGCGAGGACAACACTGAGGGCAAACCGCCCATACAAGTGCGCTTCGAGATTCCATACTTTACTACGTCCGGCATACAGGTGCGTTATCTGAAGATCATAGAGAAAAGCGGCTACCAGGCGTTGCCCTGGGTCCGTTATATCACGCAGAATGGCGACTATCAGCTGCGCACCAACTAAGCTACGCCCAAACACACACACACACACGCGCGCGCATTCCAGCCAAGCTTAAGCGAACATCCCTCTTGTTGCGTCTAATTTGTTAGTAAGGAGTATGTTAGTTAGCTGCCTCACCTTCACACTGTGCGTTAAGTCGAAAGTATATATATATATAAATTGAATAGGGTATTCCCGCAAACGGAAAATCATCTGTTGAGTATATTGAAAACTATTTATGCTTTAAATTGATTTAAATTTTAGTCAGCCTAAGGCGTGCATACAAAATTCTTTACAAATTAAAACATGTAAAATTATTGAATAATTCTTGAATATGTATTGAAAATTTGAAATCTGTTAAGCACTTGTTTTGAAATGTTTTAATCAATTTACGTTTAGCGCTCAGCGAAATTTAATGCAGATCTTAAGGACTTTAATATTTAGAATTTTCAACTGTTGCGAATTGTCTGAAATCCTTGACACAATCGATTATAGTTTTAACTTCGCATGGAATTTACTTCAGCTAAAACGTTTGCAGGGATACCTTTAATTATAATGTATTGTTTTATTTCTGCGTATTGTATTTTGTATGTAAATCAAACTAATAAATTTTTAAAAACATTTTCAAATGTAATTATAATGACACTCGACTTAATATGTGCCACTAAATATATGTTAAAAAGTTTTCATTTTCATTCTTTGCCCCTTAAAAACCCGAATAATTAAGTTCTGTCTACGTATTTAGCAACAAATTTGAAATGGTTTGGAACCATTAAAAAGAAAACAATAGATTGCTTAAGCTTAATAAATGCACTTTTCGATGAGTCTCTCTGGTTAAGATTTGTAGGATTTCTGGTTTTTGCTATTTTGTTGATCGCCCTTATTGCTTGAAGCTTTTAAGGGGATAATGTTGTTTGTGGGCTTCGACATGCTGCTCCAGTTCCCGCTGTTGCTCCTGCAGATGCTCGGGCATATCGGCGTAAACGCCCTCGAACATCTCGCGCCAATTTGGCTTTAGTTTCTTTTCGGAGATGGCAATCTGCTTGAGCACCTGCTTGCGCACTCCGCTCACAAATTCCGTTTCTTGTTTCTCGTTGAACCAGCCCTTGTGCACCATATAACTCTTCAGCTTGGAGATGGGATGCTCCAGCGTGTTCCACATTTCAATCTCCTCCGCTGAGCGATACGCCGTGCTGTCGTCTGACGTCGAATGATGACTGACACGATAGGCTAGCGCCTCAAGCACAACTGGCTTATTCTCTCGTAGCGTATATTCCCGTGCTCGCTTCATTGCATTGTAGACGGCAAACACATCAGTGCCATCGACACGGATGGTAGCTATGCCATAGCCCATGGGACCACGTCCAGCAATGCCGTCGCCCCGGTATTGTTCATTCGAGGGAGTGGATATGGCAAAGCCGTTATTGCGACTGCGAATAAAGCAGAGTCGTATGAGATATTCAAATTGAATCATAGTTCAGATTCATTGGGAGTATACTCTTCAACTACCTACCAAAACAGAATCACTGGACATTCGAGCGTTGCAGCAAAATTGAATGCAGCATGTGCATCGCCCTCGGAGGCAGCACCTTCACCAAAGTAACAAACAACGCAGGAATCGTTGTTCGGCTGACGTTTTAGAGCATAAGCGGCGCCCACGGCCTGCGGTATTTGCGTAGCTAAGTGGAAAAGGGATTAACACATGTCTATCTATAGCACAACCAATTGCCTCTTACACAATGGACTGGAGATGGTCACAAAGTTGAGCTCCTTGGAGCCATAGTGCACGGGCATCTGCTTGCCGCGACCAAGATCATCATCGTTGCCATAGCACTGATCGATAAACTGATCAATACGAAAGCCGCGCCATACGAGGACACCCGCCTCGCGATACTGGCCATAAATCAAGTCACGCATTTCCAGGGCGGCCGCACTGCCAATGTGCGATGCCTCTTCTCCAAAATTAGTCATGTAGAAAGAGATGCGTCCTTGCCGCTGCGATTCGTATAATATTTTATCCATAGTTGACAGCAGCAGCATGTCGCGAAACATTTTCTCAATCACCTCCTGGCTCAGCTGTGGATCCTCTTGTTCGTTGAGTATGTAACCATCGCGATCCATAACCCGATAGATGGGTATGGGCGCATAATCTTCTGGCATAGTCAGTTTCAGACTATTTACAAATGCTGCGTCGCGGGCACCTGGAAAAGCGTACCGATCGTCCACTGGGTTTCTAGTGGCACTGTAGCTGCGCTGTACGCCCGAAAGCTGACAATGAAAACAGTTAATTTCAATCTATTGTGAATTCCAATTGGAATACTAACCATTTTGGCATTTTGCTTGGCAGCATTAAAAAGTTGAACGGATTTGCGCAGGAATGACATATTTAAGAATAAATAGCTAAAAACGGAACTACAACAATAGATGGTTCAAGTAAAATAATTAATTACTTTATTTATTGCCTCGTTGTGCTCTGCTGCTGCCTTGTGCTGCAAATCAGCTGTGTTACGCAACAGGTATGCGACTAAGCCGAGTATGCAGCACATAACCCTTGGTCTCAAAATATGTATGAGAATAAATTTACAAATTTTATTTTATTCATTATTTTCAAGCGTATACTAGTTTAATTTGTATATGGTAATTTTAAGCTTAAAACTCTGTACTCTTAATCATATTTGAAAGTTTACAATAGTTCTTTGCTATTTTTTTTCAGGAGGTACTAGCATACTAGTCCGTTAGTGTTGGTTAACATTGAAAAATGGCAGCTGTGCAGCTCGACGAGGCGCAATTCTGGCAGTCAATAGGAATATTAATAAAAAACTATCATGCCATAAATAAAAAAATATTCGAAGTGATTATAACGCAAGTTCAAAAGCTGCTGCTGGGAAAACTCTATGAATCCAATGAGGCTGAGCTGGAACAACAGCTGCTGCAAAGCAATAGCAATGGGAGAACATGTGACGGTTTTAGGATTAGCTATAAAATGCTGACCAAAAAGTTGTCCACAAATATTTTAGCCAACGGAACTGTGGGTAGGCATGATTCGAAGTAATATTTGATCAGATAATTAAAAAATCAATTAAAACGCAGATTTTAACAAGCCAAGCTATGAATGCCATTTCATAGCTGATTCAGGTTTTGATGACTTTACTGTAAAATTGATCGATGGCCAACTGGAAGCGGCGCCACTGCCTCACCGATCAGAAACGGTGTGTGAACAAGGCTCAAGATGGGTGCAGTTCGTGTTAAGGCCAAAGCTATGCAGTTGGGCCCAAAGCCAGCCAGACAAAAAGGCACAAAAATCGTTACGCTTACTGGATGTGGAAATGTACAGCGAGCTGTACAAGAAATTGAAGCAAAAACATGCGCAACGTTTGCAGCATTATTGGCAAACGGCTAACGAATCAACGGATCCGTTAAAGTTCATTTACGAGGATTTGGCTATTGCTGCATATTTAATCACTCTCTGGCATTGCACTCAATCGCAGCCGACAGCATTTGCGGACCTGGGTTGTGGAAACGGGCTACTAGTCCATGTGCTTAATGCGGAAGGCTACAAAGGTTACGGGTACGATGTGCGCCAGCGTAAACTGTGGTCCCTGTATCCGGAGCCAACCAATTCGAATTTAATTGAGCAAACTATAGAGCCGAACAGCTTTCGACTTGATTATCCAGACGTCGACTGGCTGATTGGCAATCATTCCGACGAGCTGTCACCCTGGCTGCCCGTCTTGGCAGCTCGACTGAAAACGAGCTTTTTCTTACTGCCATGTTGTCCGTTTGAGTTATCCGGCGCCAAGTTTCAGCGGCGCAACACTAGAATCAGCGCTTACCAGGACTTTATGCTCTATACAAAACAAATGTCCGACCAGTGTGGCTTTGAAACGCAGCAGGATCGCCTTAAGATTCCAAGCACCAAGCGCTTAGCTTTAATTGGCTTGAAGCACACAGCACAACCTGTTCAGGAGCTAGAATATTTTGTGCAGCAAGAGTTGCAAAATCATAAAGCGGGCAACCAATTTTCGGCTAGTTCGGTGAAGTTGCGTGAGAAAGCCGAGAGCGTAAAAAATTGCACTCAAGTGGAAAAGAGCATAATTGACGCGTTGGTACTGAAAATCTTTAACATGTTGCTATTCAATACGAATACAATAAATGTCAATGATGCTGCGGATAACAACTGGCTGGCTGGACATCATCTCACAATGCGTGATATCGCCAAGGGTCTAACCAAATCGGAGCTAAACGGTATTAAATCCGAATGCGGTGGTATTAAGACCCTACTCCGAAATAAACGCGAAGTATTTGAGTTTTGCGGCGACAATCAAATTGGAATACGCAAACCTAAAGCGACTCCGGACAGGACTGGGACGACTAAAAAGCGACCCTGTTTCTTTAAGCTAAACCATCCACAGGGTTGTCCATTGGAAGGTGATGAGTGCTCTTTTATACATTAATTGTATATAGAAATAAGAGTAGAAAATATAAAGTAATGATTGAAAAATATAAGTAATGATTGATAACCGAAGACTATAAAATTTTGTTGTGTGTTAAGATATTTAAGCTTTGGAAACACAAGTCTAATTCAGACAATTATTTACAGCCTGTATAGAATCCTTTAAAATATAGTTTTTGTATTTAGTTTGTTATTTAATATTTTTCGTTTCTACATTTAAATAATTGTTTCGGATTATGAATATATTTGAATTGAAGTGCATTTGTTATTGTTTTTCTGCGCTTCTGTTTTTCCAATAATAATTAAAATTATTATTTTTTTACTAAATTCACTTTAACGGGAACTGTCAGAACTGTTGCTACGACGCCGGCGGCGAATGGGCGAACGTGAACGCCTACGCGGAGAACGACGGCCGCGAGGGGGCGAATTGCGTCGTCCGCCACCCCCACCTCCACCGCCCCCGCGATTGTTAAAGCGATTAAACTGCGGCGGGGAGCGCCAGCGTCCACCTTGTGGACGCCGCATCTGTGGCGACGGTCGTCGTATGGGCGGTCGCTGCTTTGGAACGATCACTGGCGACACAGTGATCTCCTGACCATCAATCTGGCCGCCATCCATATGCTTCATAGCCGACTCGCAGTCCTCCGCCGTCGCATATTCTACATAGGCCATGCCACGTCCAAAATTGGGATGATAACGATCCGTTGGGAATTCCACATTCTTGATTGTGCCAAAGCTGCTAAAGATCTCCATTACATGTTCCTTTGTCACATTCCGGGTGAGTCTTCCAACGTGGATACGCACTGGCTTCGGCGTGGGTGAGCGTGAGCGGGTGCGACTACGGCTACGTGAACGATCGCGTCTCTTGGGCGGCGGTGTGCGATCGACGGTTCCACGCCCACCGCCACGACGACGGGGCGATCGTGAGCGACTGGCCGAGCGGGAGCGTTCACGTTTCACGTTATTCAATTCGCCACCGCCTGCAACACCACTGCGATCATTGGAACTGCGGCGTGCACGATCTCTTGAACGAGTGCGACTACGCTGAACACGATCGCGATCACGTTCGCGGTCCGATTCCTTGCGCACCTTGCTATTAGGACGCGGTGATTTGGTAGCTCTGCGCGGCGAGCGAGATCCATCTTTGCCGCCTGCTGCGCCACCGCTGGTTCCGCCACCCCGACGTCTAGTTTTCTCGCTGCGATCGGTATCGCTCGACGATGATGAAGAAGAGCTGGACGAATCGCTGGAGCTGCTCGAACTAGAGCGTGAGTTGGAGCCAGAGCTGCTGCGTGATGATGAGCTGCCGGATGAACTTTTCGTATGGAAGAAAATATTTCAGGTTAAGCCGGCAAATAAAAAGTATGTAAATGCTTTAAATATGTACCTTCTGCTGGAGTCACTGCTGGAGGAAGCAGATCCTCGGCGCTTGCGTTCCCGCTCTCTGCGCGATGAATTGGATGTAGCGGCTTTTGCGTCCTTCTCTTTAACATCTTTCTCTTTATTTTCCTTTTCACCCTCGGCGGTGGGAGACCGGGCACGCGCCCTTAATGGGGGAAAATATGTCGGTCATGAAATAGTTCTATTAAAATGACAATTGTACTCACATTTTGCACTTAAGATTGAAGTTAATTAATTATCCACTGATAACTTGTCAAATTGTTAACGAATTGCTTCCTAAAACACAACTTTTTAAACACGAAAATACCAAGTTAATATACAATGGCGTTCCTGCATCGATGTATTTTTTATTTTCCGATACCATATATCGATGTGAGCATAAAGAGTGACGCAGAGTCGCTTTATATCGTTATTCTACTCATTCGATATATATGGTGGCCAAGAATACCAAAAGCTATAGTTAATATAGACAGTGTGACCGGTTTACAGGAGTAAAAAATACTTACGTTCGTACATCTACAGCTCTTTTGTCAGGTCGAGAATCGCGCAGAGGTAAACTCCCATAAAAAATTCAGATACATTTAATATCAAGTGCAATTTGTTATTTAAAGTAGCATAATTGTTGAGCGTTAGTCTAATGCAAATTGTGCTTGTCAACGTTTGCGCATATACGTAGTGAAATTATATAAAACGCAATTGTTTAATGCCAGTTTTTATCTGTATGGTGACGAAGTGGTTGTCATTGTGAATTCATATATATATATATATGTGCGTATGTATGTGTGTTTAAATGCATGTGTACACACACAAATACTGACATACACATTCACTACTAAATATGTGAACTTGTGTTGATTTAAGTCAGCTATGGCCAAAGGGGAGCGGTTCGAAGCCACTGTGGGGCACAGAGTTTCGATTTTTTTACCCACATCTATGTATACTCACAACGCATTTACAATTGATACGGTTTGACTCCCCACACAAAGCAAGAGACAGAGAGAGAAATAAAGAGAAAGAGAGGCACACAGATGGTGAGAGTTTAAGCGAGCAGGCGAGCAAATAAATGGTCTGTCTGAACATTTTACCACACTACCTCTTTGTCTGTTCAAGCGAGTTCTCGTGCTGGTATTTTACTCGCTCGCGTTGATGTGTAAAATTATTTATTTTTTTCCCTTGGTTTTATTTTGCAATCGTTTGTGCCTGTGGTTGTGTAGCTGTTCGTCTGCGCGTTATTGTGAATATTGTTAATGTATATATGTAATAATATTATAGAACGTAATTATCTAAATGTGCATAGTTATCAAAAGTCAGGCAAACATTTCTATAGTATACATACATATATTCATATAATCGATGTGCGTATGCGTGTGTCGTGTGTCTCAAAAAAGAGCAATCTTCGTTGAAGTTCGACTACCATGACTACGCAATAGCAACAACAAGAGATAGCGAGACGCGATACTTGGTTAGGTGGGTTTTTACTTTTCTCTTCTGCTCATTGCCGTCGCACTCTCATTTAACTATATGCAAGTGTGTGTGTGTTTGTCCGTCTGTTTAGTTTTCTTTGCTTATCTCTCACACTCTCAATCATAATGTGGAGAGTAAAAGGCAAGTGATGTATAGGCATACATATGTATATTTTGATAAACATACATTTATTTTTTGTTTTTTTTTTTGATAATTTATTGTTTTAATTTCGAGGGGGGGGACAAGTGGGTTAAACTTTAGATGGTGTGACGCTGACCCTCAGTAACACACACGCACACTTATTTACACTTATGCGCGATATAAAAATGAGGCGTTTTACATAAATACAGTAACACAAATATACATACATGTATGTAAGTATGTGTACGTGTATGCCCAAATGAAAGTATTTTGGTTTTTGTTGTCAGGTTTTAGGATTTCTGCAATAACCCCAGTGCCAAATGTGTGTGTTTACTTGTATGCATACAAACATATATACCTACGTATATATAAACATATATACATATACCTTAACTGCCTGCTTAACTTACATAGTCTTATAATTTATATAACATGTGCATTTTACTATTTGGCATTTACAACCACGCTTTTTATATATATTTATGTATATTCAAATCTACGTCCAAAAACACATTCACGTATTTATTACTAACATACCAAAAAAAAATAATGCTCTTTTCGGATTAACCGAAGAATGATTACCCCTGCAGTTGTATCAAAGATATATTAAGCTATGTTTATATAAATTATCGGTTCATACACAAAGATACTGCCCAATTGATTATTTCATAGATGTTTTGTTATAGAAAATCTTCAGTGTTGGTCAAATGCTTCTATAGGTTCTATATGACATAGATAGATAGTCCGATTGAAACCATTATCTTTTCGTATGTTGCGATAAACCTGTTCAAAGTTTATTTGACCATCCATATATTGAGAGCCGAAAGCAAATCATACTAATGGAAATTTATTCACTTATCTTTGACAAGGTATTTTAGATTATCGAGATAACTATAAATGTCTACTGCAAGGGTATTACGAAATATCTTTCTCAAAAGTTAATTAGACTAAACAAATTTGAATGTAATTGCAAATATTTCTTTTACTTTTGTTTTTTCTTTGTTTTTAGCATACATACAAAATATTTTATTGCTGGTTTTGGTGGTAAATTTGCATTTGTTAATGGCCGCGGCCAGACGTGCCCGCTTCTTAACTCACACACAAAAAGAATATATTATTTAAAAATAAGATAAGAAACTGATACAGAACAATGAAATGTGTTCAATTAATGTTTTTTACCTATTGACATGTAAAAACAAATATTGAAACTAAAATTGAAATGTATGTTAAGTATATACATATATAGCACATAAGACTGCCGCGCCTCTATCTGTATCTGTATCTGTATCTCACTGACCAACTACTGCAATAGTAACTGCAAAAGCATTTCGCACACACCTCAACTTTAAGCTCTTGTTTAAAAAAAAAAAATATATATATATATATATATATATATATATATATATATATATATATATATATATATATATATATATATATATATATATATATATATATATAAATAGAGCTCCATAGCCTCGTTCGCCTCCATAAACGCCAACTTATCTATTCATATATATCATATATATATATATATATATATATATATATATATATATATATATATATATATATTTATTTATATATATGTGTATATATTGTTTTATTCCTCGTACCGCCTACTACCAACAACAACAACAACCATCAACAACCAACAGCAACAACAACCAACAACATTCTTCCGCAACTTGGCAACAGACTCGGCTTTAGTTTATAAGCTTATTTTTTCGTGTAAATTTGTCAAAGACACTGTACTATCTATAATATGTAATATCTATTGTAAGGCAAGTGAAATGAAAGATAAAACAAAACATTCAAATCGATCTCTAAAAGCTCTTTAATAATTAAATAATACACAGAATTACCTAGTTTCTCTTTCACTTCGCCTGCCTTAGAGCTCATTTGTAATTTTTGTACTTGTCCTACGTCTTTGGTTCCAATATTGCTCTAACCCCATTTATACCATCCAACAACAACTATACATACACATTGTTTGTTTTATGCACCCACACACACAGACACATACATGCATACAAGCATATATGTATATGAAATTTACAGTACAACTTTGATAGATTGTAACCTCCGCTTACCAAATCCTATTTGTAGCAGATAAGGGCAATGCTTCGTATACATATACATATGTATATAATTTATATATATATATAAATATATGTATATATATAATGAAATTGTGAATCTTATTTACTTAGCTTATCAACAGAGACATCAAATATTGACAGCTAATAAAACTTGTCAACTTGTAAATTATATCAACTCTTTTTATCGGTCGCTGTTCCTGATTAATTTATATGAATAGGTTTATATGCGCTTTTTCTTTGAAAATGGAAAGAAAACCGAAATATATGCTATATTAGTACATAACAGTCCGTCTGAATCTAAGTCTTAGGCTTACACTATCACTCCATAACTAAAGTAGCGCCCAAACATGATAATCACAATATGGACTTTGTAGATTTCTTCATAATTTTTCTTCATATTGAGGAATCCCGCTTGATATGCCCATAGGTCCTAAGATCAAGTTTTAGGTAGATAAAGAACCAATAAATTTTTTAAAGAGCAATTAATGGATACAAAGACAAGATCGTATGGTGTCTAAACTATTAAGTTACAAAACTACATTTTAATTGATTTTAAAAAATATTGTTTTGTTACATTTATATTAAATAATAATAATTCAAGATTTTTAAAATCATATGTTAACATAAAACTTTCGCGAAACTGTCACTGTGATAGCTGAAAAGCCATTGTAATAGCTTTATAAATAAGTTAATATATTATCAAAGTTGTGCTGTGTCTAATACTTATGTATATACATATACTAAATCCTATATAAATTTTTATAAATATACGTAAGATAATTGTTATATTTTTTAAATCCTGAAGCTATCAATAGAGTACTAACTACCTTTGTAATCCACAGAAAAAGAAAACAATAAGAAAATTTACTAATAATATGTTTTGTTTTTATTATGTTATCATACACAAACATTCACTTACACACACATTTAAACACCCATATCCAAGCATTTTATATATATATATATATAACTATTAGCTATGTATGACAAGTTTTTCCTCATATTATAAAACGCATCAGGCATATTGTGTACTCTATATAGTTACCCAGAAGACTAACCAAGCACGTATTATCCACTCATTTATTTATTTATTAATTATTGACAAAATCTTATTAAAGCTACACTGTTAAAAATCAAACTCAAATTGTTGCTGTTTTATTTATGAACAAGAAAATATATAGATACTCCTATATATACATACATATATACGCTATCTTCTTTACATATTCACACACATATATACACACATTTTTAATGCTGTTTTCCTCAGTAAGTACTAGTATTTATCCCTCTATCTATAAATGTTGTGCTCTCTTTTGTATTGTTTTTGGTTTTGATTCCTTTTTTATTTATCAATCATTTTGTTGAGCATGTTGGCTTGTTGGTTGTTTATGCTTTTGTGTACTGGAACGCGGGCTCGGCTTTAACATAGTTCAACTTTATTTTTGAAAAAAGCAAACGTTTTCCTTGCAGCTATAAATGAGACAAGCAAAAGTTTGAACAAACAAAAATACAAAAAACAACAACACCAACTCGAACTGCAGTTAAGTCTCAAGCAGCAGTCGCAACATGCTGAACTCCAATGCGAATCATTCGGGCAATAGCCGGCGGCCATTTTCTCGCAATTCCTCCTCGGCCCGTTCACATCGGGGCCGCATGCTCTACTCCCCACATCCACATGGACAGCAGCAACAACAGCAGCAGTCGCAGCGAAACAACAACAATGGCCTTGTGCCGGGTCATAGTCCCTGGTGCAATGTAAATCTGAATCGCCACAATAATGACAGCAACAACAACAACAGCAACAACAATGCCAACAATAACAAAGATGCAATCGATGGCAGAAATTTGAATTGGTAAGAGCTACGCAGCTTATGGTATATAAAAAGTACCGAAATAAACTTTGCAAATTACGTTAGCTTTAAGTGACATAAAAGCGAATTTGAAGTACTCCCTTATCCAAATGCCCCCTATCCCGCCGTTATCCTACACCGTATTATAATTGCCTACGATCTGCCATAAAAATAATATTAATAATAATAATAACAACAACATCCCTGTTACTCGTTCCCCACGCTCCCCACGACAACTATAGAACAGTTTTCTCTACTCTTCTATCTATATCTATCTGTCTGTCTCTCTCTCTCTCTATAAATATATCTAACTACTTCTACGTAACTACACCACAGTTATAAAAATCGCTTTTAGGTTAAAGGGAGAATTTTGTAATTAATTGCGTGTTGTCCAAAAAAGAGTAAAGAGTAAATCAATATTCATACAAAGCGCAGCCAAAAACATTTCTTTGGCCTCTTTTACCGTTGAATTTTCGAAGCACTTAAAAAAAACAAGAAAAAACTTGCATCAACAACAAAACAGCTGCACGCTCAGCGACTGCAAGAGAGCGCAAGTCAACGCATTTAACTTTTCAACTCACTGCCGTTCACGAGCTCTCTCTCGCTTTGACAGTGTTGCACAGTGTTTGCAGTTTGCAGCTGTTTTGTTGTTCTCTCTACTTTTTTTTTTTACAAATTCATTTGTTCTTTTGTTGTTTTTGTTCTCTTTCGTACATTTTCTTTATGTTTTGTTTTGTTTTTAGTTATTTTTTTGTCAATTGGCACATGTGTATAACCTCTATCTACTAATTATCGTTGTATCTATTTGCATTTACATTAAAATATATAAAGAATACGCAATTTTCGTTCTGCTCAAAAAAAAAATACAAAAACAGAAAATCTCTATTCCTAATTGTATCGTGTGTAAATTTTTTAACCGCTTCAATTACAAGTATGTATACATACCAGGCGAAATTCCATAGTAGATACATATATATTAACATTTATCTAAGAACTTATCGGAAAATGTTTTAATTTTCAAGCGTTACCAAAAAATACAAAAATTAAAGAACAAATGCATGAAAAGCACTTGAAAATGGCGAGCAAAACTTAATACGTAGCAAATGTCCTAAGTTGTTTTATTAGTAGTTGTTTCTTTGTCCAACAAAACCATAAAACAAGCTTCCTAATTTATCGTACTTATTAAATACTTTTACATACTCTCTCGTACATACAAACATATGTAAAGCGCGCTTAACGGTTTATTACCAAGCATGCCAAAATCATTAATTTACAACAACAACAGTAACATTTATTTTGCGACTTTTGGCCAACAAAACAATTTTCTTTATCGAGGGCAACCAAAATCCAAATCTGTACAAATTCTTAATTAGTAGTTGGTAAAAAAATTACTTTTTGCAATTGAACTTTGCATACGACTTGTTTGCTTTTCTTTTAAAAACTAGTTTATTGCTACGTGTGTGTATGTACATTTGTATTGTATACTTTAAAAGGGGGTTTCGGTTATGGACTTATAAAAAAAACATGAATATAAATATTGGGCATTATATATATAATTTCTTCTCTGTGCATATATGTTTGTGAAAGGAAAATTTAATTTACGCATACATGCTTAAAGCGCATTTTCATGCACGTGTAGCTGATAATCGAACAAGTTCCGACAGGATGAAGCTTTAACTGAGGTTATGTGCAGTGAGGATGCATTACAAATAACAAATTGAAGAAAGTTCGAACTACGTAATAGATGAAAGTGTTTTTCATGCATATTCAGATAAAAGAAATATACGACACCTATAATTACACCACATTTAGTTCCATACAGCGAACTAGTTCAAAGAGCAGCTAACTCAGCTGTGCTACTTTACAGCTGTATAACACTTTTTAGTCTGCTCTGCATTTATATTTTTTATTTATTATTTATTTAAAACTATTTTATTTTATTTTTGCTCATAGTTTTGCTTTACGTTAATGCTAAATTAACAAAAACAAAAAATATGACTTTTTAAATACTTTGAAAAAAAAAAACAAAATATTGTGATGTTTGAAAAATCATGTGATTATAATAAGTGCAACCGTCAAAGTGCAAGCAAATATATATCTATAAATATATATTTAACAAATTTAGTTACAAAATTTCCTCTTTATCCAAACCGTACAGTAAATACTTAGTTGTAATATTTTTTTCAATTCAACATTTTATGAATGATATACTGCATTTTAGTTGAGTTTATTGATTGTTATTGAATAGAATTTATAGATTGGTGTACTTCTATTTATATGATCGCTTAACTGCATTTTTGGTGCCGGTAAACAATACATGAAAATTCTTTGATAAATCTGACTAAATAATCATCTATGTTATATATTTAATGATCAAGAAACTCAGCTTAATGTTTTACTTATTTATTTGCATTATGCACACTGCGGCTTAGAATGTTCAATAAACAGTTTTAATGTAACTAAATAGAAATTTCAAAAACGTCAAAAAAGCTACTAAACTAAATATATAGTAAATGCGTTACTATCATTTCTTTCGTATATATAAATATAATTTTTATTATCTATAGTTGTATTCAATATGTGATTGTGTGTGAGCGCAATATTCAAAATCCAAGCAACTATACTATACTATATGAACTTTTGAACTTTTCTCACACTCTCTGTTAAACAAAACAAAATAAAAAATAGTTTAATATTTAGCATTCTTACTGTACAATATAATTTATCCTCTTGCGTTTTTTGGACACGAACGAACCTGCAATTAGTGCGTAAGTGTTAAACGTTAACGTAATATTTTTTGGCGCTTTTTGGCCCACGCCCACCCAACTGCTGCTGTCTATATGTGTGTGAATGTGTGTGTGTATTTATATATATAATATATATGTATATATACATATATATAATATATTTTAGTGTTATCTTGTATACCCCAGCTCGACTACTCGATCTGTGTCACCCGAAGATATTGTCTTAAGCTTTTCATACGCATGCTGTTGTGCTTACGTTACGCTACGTTAACGAGATTACGTGCATTGCGTGCCCGAAAGCTGATTCGTAAGAGCGCGCTGCACCAACACATGCATACATGCTCCCTCAAAAGCTGGATTAACGGTTTACGTTTTTTGCGTTCTCTTTTGTATATTTTTGAGCATGTACAGCACTATCTATTTCTCTCTCTCTCTCTTTCCTATAAGTACGTATAACTCTGCCTCTCTCTCTCTATATATCTCATGTTTAGCTAGTGAAAGCGTTGCGTTAAAAAGTGTCCTGAAAACTGTGATACTCGCATTTGTTGTTAAACTTTTTTTAATTTTTGTAAGCGTAGTGTGCATTGAAGCGAAAGCCAAACAAATAAATAAATAAAATAGCAAACTAACAACAATTTCTATCTAAAATGCATAAGTACAACAAAAACAATAAGAAAACAAAAAACCAAAACAAAAAAAAAGAATTGTGCAAAATTAGTACGTATTTGTTTCTACTAAATGCATATTGCATTTGTGTGTATATGTAGATAGCTATTAAATAATGTTATATGATTGCAACAAAAACTCTTGCTACATATACACGCATTGCCATTATATTATTATAAACTATATGTGTGTGTATATATTGATATTATATAATTACATATATATATATATTATATATATATCTATATTAAACTAATAATCTAATTATTGCATTTTGCCATTTACATATATATTATTTTTATCTTTTTCGTTTTTCTTTCTTCTTCATAAAAAAAACCGAAAAACTGCAAAATAATAATAATAAAAAAAAACTATATAAATAACGTATATGTGTGGCTACCACTCTGCATATATACACTACTACTACTACTACCTACTACCTGTACATGTATATGCATACAAAAATAACTATATATGGGTTGTGTTTTAATACTACCACCACACTGCTACTGCATTGATTTGATTGAACAATTTTCAAATGTATCTCGTAAAACCGAATATATATTATATTATATACGTATATCTTATATGTATTATCATATTATCTGAAAAAAAAAAACCAAAAACATAACGCAATTGCAATCCTAAATCGAAAATCCAGCGATGTACAAACAAGTAATTCTAGCGGAACTTGTATTTATAATAATAGCAAAACGCATCATCACAACAACAGCCTTAACCTCAATCACAATCATAATGCCCCCTCACAACAACAGAATCATCAGTCACAAGTCCATCATAGCCAGCCTACTCAGTATAACAGTAACAATAACAGTATCAGTAACAGTAACAGTAACAATAACAGTAACAATAACAATAACAGTAACAGTAATGTTAACCCTAACAGTTTTCATCATTCAATTACCAACACTGCACATGACAACAATTGCACTGTTAACAATAGCAGCAGTAATCGCAGTAGCCTACGAACACAACACAATGAAAACCACAATCCCAACCAGTATTTAATCGCCAATCAGAATCCAATTGTGAATCACAGCTATCACAGCTATTTTGATATGTGCCACAGTGCTGCGAGTGTGCCTCCTGCTTTTGGTTCAATGTCCGTGTCCGTTGTTCGATTAAATCCAGCACGCTTATGTTTAACTGTTGCCGCCCCGCCCACAGCCACACCTACAACACGCCGTAGCACGCCCCTTGCCCTGATATCCTTACCAGCCCAACAGCATAACAACAACAACCACAATCCACATAATTTCAATCATAATCATCAATATCACAGCACCCATCACAGCTACAACAACAACAACAACAACAACAACAACAACAACAACAACCAGTATCACCCATCACAACCTCAGCCACAATCACAACCACAGCCACAACAACAACCGACTAATCGCCAATCCCTCCCGCTAACACGTACGAATTCAAATTCAACAACCGCAACAACTTTCAATTCAACCAATACAACAACAAATAGTATTCCTACTGATGTTGTGAATGTCAATTCTTGTACCGATATAATTCCTCATGGGTCAACTGCGCCACAACAACAACAACAACAACATCAACCGCAACAACTGTGTTCACAACGACAACAACGACGATCTCAAACCCAACAACAACAACAACTGCAACAATTGTCGCCGCCGCTTCTTATGATAAACCTCAACCAATTGACTGATACTCATTTTAATCACGCATCCACCAATAGTCATAGCCAAGGATCTGCAGGAGCCCATCACAGTCAGCGTAACTACAACAATCGCAACAACAACAGCAACAACAACATAAATAACAACAACAATGCGATTGGTTTAAGCAATTCAGACTATATGAACTATCGACGCGCTTGCCCCGCATTGTCACGTGACTATCAGCAACACCACAACAACAACAACAGCAACAACAATGTTAACAATAACAACAATCTGGGCAACGGTCACAACAATAACAACAACAGTCGCCGCCACAATGGCAACTATGACAGAAATCCAAACAATAATGTGAGTTAGCAAGTCAGTTCAGCATATAATATATAGTTACTCAATTTGATCTAAATTTAATTTTCAATTTCATGCATAGTAAACCATGCATATAAATCACTGACTTAGCTGTCCTCAGCTATAAAAAATACTTTATACTTAACAGATTTTACTATTTTCGAATATTAGTATTAATTAATAAAGAGTTTACGGATAATTTAGGCCATTCAAAATTGATTTTTGAGTTAGCCTCAAACAGCTTTGTAATATTAACATATAGCGTAAATTGACAATATCTGTTAAATATGACCTTCTTATAGATAGGCAAACATCAAATATTTGATTTTCTATAATGGGAACTCATATTTCATTGTTTATATGATCAGCTCTGCCTATAGAGCATTATGCAATCGAGACATAGAGTTATATGCACTTCTTTCATCATATTATAACTTCTTGCAGCACTTTAATAATGGTAGTTCGGAACAGAATCTGGATCATAGAGCCGATGGTGGCTATAGCTTTATGCGCAATGGAGGAATTGGTAATAGCTACGGTCGGAATGGTGCACAGCACTATCAGCAGCACATGAGCAATGGCTATGGCAACAACAACAACAATAACAATAACAATGTTGCATCTGCATCCTCCGCTGGTCCCGGCCTAATGGGTGATGTGCCCTCTGGCTCCGGTTTGTCTGGTTCAACGCTATCGCTAAACAATGGCCTCGGACCCAATGGTATCAACTCGGATAGTCCGTCGCGCAAGCGTCGTCGCATTTCGGGTCGACCCAGTCAATCGCCGCCAGCTATTTGGGAGCCCAGACGCTCACAGCGCGTCATGGTAAGTTGTCAAGTAGAGTAGGCTATTATAAACATTTCCCATTCGAATAATTTGTATCCAGATGCAACAGGGCAGTCCGCCGTTGCGTCGGCCACGACTGCGCGATGTGGCCACCTCCACGCAGCAGCAGCAAATACAACATCCGCAATATGCACCACAGCCGCATCACTCGCAACAGCAGCAGCAGCAGCAGCAGCAGCAGCAGCAGGTGCCGCCGAACTACCATCCAATGCATCATCATCAGCAGCCACAGCCGCACTATGCGCCGCAACAGCAACAGCCGCATCAACATCCACACTCGCATCGTTCGCCATGGGATCTAACCGGCAATGGTCCGGCCGTGGGTAATGCTGGCGGGCCAGCTCCGAGCAGCACTGTGGGAGCCATATTGCAGCAGGTGCAGGCACCGCCGCCGCCACCACAGGCGCCCAGTCATCAGCAGGGAGTAGGTGCTGCCCCGCCACCACCGCCACCCACCTCGCTAATGGTTGACCTCAATTTGGCCCTGCGCCACGAACCCTTCTGGGCATCCTTCTGCACGTATCCGTTGCCAACCCAGGCACGTCTGGCTCCGTGCCATCTGCATGGCATCTATACGCAACCCTTCACGGCAGCGCCTGCCGGCCTGGCTGCTGCTCCGTTACAGGTCGCCCAGGTTCCGACACCCACACAAGTGGCAGCTGCTGCAGCGGCAGCACAGCATATGATCCAAGCGGCAACGATTACGGCACAGCAGCAGCAACGCGATGTGGCTGCCATTGCTGTGGCTAATCTGACATTAGAGCCACAACCCAATGCCCACCATATGGACGGACATCAAGCAGCCGCTGCAGCGGCGGCAGCGGCAGCCGCAGCTGCAGCAGCATCTGTGCCAGTGGGTTCCCAGGCAACGCATCCGCATCCACATCCACATGCACATGCACATCAGCTGCCGAGCCACATACACATCGCCTCGATGAGTGCCGCGGCGGCGGCGGCTGCCGCACAGCATATACATTCCAATGCGGCGGCAGCGGCAGCCGCTGCACATGTTTCACAAATGTCGGCGGCAGCGGCACCGCAGCAGATAATCATATCATCCGAGCGTCGCACATTCCCGCCGCATAGGCGTCTACCGCGCTTCTGGCCGGCTAATCATGGACCACATCGACATGTCCTGCCGCCTCAATCGCTGGCACCACATCAGGCGCCCGTGCAGATCCAAACCACCGCTGGCATTATCAATCCGGGCTTCTTGCTCAATTTCCTGTAAGATCTAATAATTATTAATTTGCATTATTATATATATAATAACCCACACTCTTGCAGCGCCATGTTCCCACTATCGCCCTATAACCAACACGATCTCAACTCCGCGGACACCAATGAGACGGAGAATTATGAGGCGCTGCTCAGTCTGGCTGAGCGTCTGGGCGAGGCCAAGCCTCGCGGGCTAACACGCAACGAAATTGATCAGTTGCCCAGCTACAAATATAATCCGGAAGCACATAGTGGTACTTAAATGATATTTATAACAAATTGCAAGTTGAGTTTTAATCTAATTTTATTTTGGTTGCTATTTAACAGGCGATCAATCATCCTGCGTGGTCTGCATGTGCGATTTTGAGCTGCGGCAGTTGTTGCGCGTTTTGCCCTGCTCCCACGAATTCCATGCCAAGTGTGTGGACAAATGGCTGCGCGTAAGTTAAATATTTTTCTTGTTAAAATGTTAGTAAAAATTCTCCTAACGGTGCAAGCCCAAATGGCAACTATATTGACACTTCAATCGAACTTATCGAAATAACGTCCAGGAATTGTATCAACTTTAATGATATTTCTTGATTGTCAGCTATTCATTTGATTTTTGTATATTTGCAGTCAAATCGCACATGCCCCATTTGCCGCGGCAATGCCTCCGATTATTTTGACAGTGCCGATCATCAACAGCAGCAGCAGGCACAGTCAACGGCTGCCACAACTACATTATCTGGCAACGCTGCCACAGCTACCAGCAATCCGGCAGTGACCGTTGTCGCCGCCGCCGCCGCCGCCGTCAATTCGCAGCAGAGCCAAGCAGCTTAGGGCCATACAATTAACAGTAACAATAATAATAACAATAACAAATACCACAACCACAACGCTTTCGCCACGTCGTCCAGGTGCCGCAAGTAACGGAGCACATACAAAATCGCAACAAAACCACACACACAGTTAGCCTTTTTAAATAATTGATATAACGCGCAACGAATCCAACTGCCAAATCGCTTCCCTTTAAACCAGACCACTTCAATAGCTTATCGTAATACTTTACTTAGCCGGTAGTTGTATGTTAGTAACGGTAAATGGTTAATGAAAAAACACACAGTAAATTGTAATGTTAACAATGTAATTATATTCTAATGCATACCACCAAGATTTCATACATAAATAAGTACTACATAAAATGCACAATTATCGATAATATTAATCGATGGTTCAATTGAATGTGTTGAAAGTAAGAAAAGTCGACAAAAAACCATAAAACTCACAATCACTTGTTATCTTTTTTTAGTGCACTACAGAGCAAGTTAATATGGAAGATAGATTGGGTCAAAATTGGCTCAGCTGCCGCCTGTGCTTATAATATTCTTGTGCATTACATTATAACAGATCCATAAAAATTCGAGTGCATACTCTATACACAAAACATACCTATTATCTATACTAAATGGTGTATTTTAAATGTTGCTGTCCACATACATACATACATACATACATACATACATATTAATTAACGCTATATCTTCAAATTAAAAACAAACAACAAAAAAAAATGGAAAATTAAAAAATATATATATATTTGTATTTGTTTATGCTTTATGTTTTATTATATACATACATAATATTTGCATTGCATATTAATTTTATAATTATTAAAAATTAAATTCTATATATATTATACATATATATATATATACTCAATAGGGATGGGTAGCTTTTGACAGTTGAAGGTGGCCATGTTGTTTGACAATACAAGATGGCCGTCGTGAACTGTTAAGATCAGCGCGTTCCAATTGGAAAATCCTGTATATTGTACGAACTGAACCCACTGAAGAAGTTCTTCTTCTTTTTGCACTAAGCAAAGCAAAACAAAAAAACAAGTACTAAAATCAACTAATATTTAACTCTTCAATTTGTTCGTTTTAATTGTTTAAATATCTTTATTTTCAATTTATTACTATTAGTATATATATGCATACACTAATATAAACGAAGCAACTAACTTTGAAACATATAAGCAATCTTTGAAATCGACTAAACAAATAAACTAAAAAAGAAAGAAAAACAAAAAAAATCGCAGAAACAACATATATATATATATAAATCGCGCGATAGCACAGCAGACATACAGTAATAATAATAATTATAAAATGATCTACATACATATACATATACATATATTGCTGGGCTTGTTTAACTGTATTGTCGTAGACGTGTGCGGGTCGCTAAACTATATATATATATATAGACGAGGGCAGATCCACAGTTTCGTAGTTTTGCCTCTTTCGTGTTTATCCAGGTTCTTTGTTATATGGCATATATATAAATATATATACATATATAACATAATTTACACCGAAAACCTCCTTGAATTTGAATCAATGTGACTTGTCTATTAAAAGTAGCACGCTGGCCGAGCATCAGATGCATATATGTAGTTATATATATATATATATTGGATCTATATAGAGTTTTCTTCTATTATTATGGTGTATCTTAATAATATGTATATGCATAACGTGTACGATATTTGCATAGCCTGCAAATCTGTACGGTTTTTAACAATATACACATAAATAATAGCAATATGTTTATAAACATATACTTAACAATACAGAATACAGAAGAATTACCAAGTAAATTGAAATGATTCCTGCCCTCCATTCGTATCAAACCATTGAAACTAACTCAAAGCGTTTTTTATATATAAACACACATCTATATATGGCATTTTTGTGACAATTGCATGTATATACATATAGAGCATACATAAACCATATATACATATATATAAATAACATAGATTAGACATTTTCAGACAGTACTAACAATAGAAGATGACTTGCTTATAGCGAAAACTTTCAGACGGCTCTAAAAACCTCTAAAATCAAATCTGTTTTTCGCATTTCAAACTATTCAAAAAGAAAAACAACGATGGAATACTATTACAGATTGCGATACCCTTAAAAAATCAATAATGTTTTCAATTCTTACTAAATGCTATGCATAAAAGTGAAAAAAAATTCTTGATACCTAGTATATATACTAATACATATTTATTTATATGTATGTAAAATGTGTGTGTATTTATTTTTAATCTACATAAATGAAAAAATGGTATTTCCAAAAGACCATTATAAAGGTGTTGTGCTTTTCTAGAATTTTATTAGTAGAAAGAAAATGTTTATTTTTTTGTCACAATTAAAATAAAAATAAAATAACAAAACGTTATAAAAAAAAACAACAAAAAAAGAAAATAAATATCTACTTGGATATGAATTGAATACCTTTTATACGAGCACTGACATACTTACCTACGACTATATATATGTATATATATATAGATATATATATATATATGTATATATATATATATATATATATATATATATATACATACATACATACAGATATATATATTTATAAAAAAAATACAGTCTCAATCAACAGGATTAGGAACCAAACAGCTTAAATGCAAATTTATTAAGCTTATTTCCATATTACAAATTTTATTTAAATATTTAATTTTTTCTGCAACTTTTTACTGGAACTTTTAACAATAATAATAGCACCCTTTCTTTTTGTAACCAACATTTTTTCTATTTTAATTTTCGAACACTGAACACAAATCAAAAGTCTATCGTAAAAAAAATTTAAAAAAAAGGATTACAAAAATTATAATATAAAGTTTTGCTGTGATTCGTGATGTAGATGTACATACGTTACATATATATAATTATTTATATATATATACATAAATATATTTAAATATATATATACATTCATATATATATATGTATATATATATATATATATATATATATATATATATATATATATATATATATATATATGTTTACATACATTCATATATGTATATATATATAAATTACATAAAATGCAATAAATTTCAAACATATAAAAACATAATTATTCAAAATTATTACGTCGTCAACCGACTTAAACAAAATAAAAGAAAATCAAAGAAAAATCTAAAAAAAAAAAAACAAATTAAAGATATTTTATGTATGAGATCTTCTCCAAATCAATATGTACATCATAATGGAACATCACTTGTCTAGAATTATGCAATTTTAAATGTGACTATATTATTTTACATTTTTGTAGACAAGAACCGAGACACTCTTATATAGTGTATGTAAAAATCAGTTAGCCATAGTATTAAACAAATCTTTTTCAATGGCAATGTAATGGTGAGCGGACGTTTTTAATGTTAATTGCAATAATTTCAGTTTTCGTTTTTGTATTAACTCGCAAAATTTAAATAAAATTCAATGAACGTAAAAAATAAACAAAAACAATTTGGTTTTACTTAATTTTTTATGGAATGCTATATTTCTGTGCTCTTAAATCATTTAATTCGACTTAAATTAACGTTACTTGAAAAAGTATGACCAGATGTAACAAATTATATATATTAATTTTACAATAAATAGGCACATTGTTTCATTAAACAATGAGATATAATAGCTTCGAAAATGATATGGAAGAGTAAGGTTTCCTTAATAGGTAAATTAAATATATTCCAAGTTATATTTGAACAGCTATCAATTATTATCTCTCCGATAAATTTTAAAAACAGCTGCGAATAGCTGGTATGTTAGCATTAACAGTCTGTAGAAACTTTTGAATCGATGCTCTAGATTTATCGATTGTACTGCCAATCGAAAACAGCTGACGCTTACAGTTGGTTAACAGCGGCGGCGGCGTGTGAATGCAAGGCGGATGAAATATTTTTAATTATAAACACGGTCACATATAAATAATTGAAAAAAAGAAAATGCATTTGTGCAAGCGAAAAGCAAAGCAAAAATATGGCCTGTAAATTATATCATAAATGTGAAAGTGTTCGCCAAGCGTTAAATCCAAAGGCAAAGTGAAAAAGGAGTGCGAGAGGAAGAAAAAATCAATTGAAAAAGAAAAATTGCATTTCGTTGTCCCAGCCCCCTATACGAAAAAAATTAAAATAAGTGTGTAGTTGTAACAGTGAAAATATATTAAGTTGTTGTACGTGTTTGTGTGCGGAGAGTCAGTGGGGTGCATGAGTTGAAAAAAGAAGAAGCAGCTGCTGCAGAAATAGCAAAAGGAGACAGCGACGAGCGGCCGAGTTGTAATAAAGCGTTGGAAAAATGAGTTCAAGTTGTGAAAGGTGTGTGCCGTTACATTTTACCAGCAAGCACTGGGAACAAAACTAACAACAGCAACAACAAAATGAAATGAATTGTTGAAATGTGTATACAAATAAATTAGCAACAACAACAACAGGGCGCTTTGTTAGATGTTTTGTTAAATAAGATGTCTTCTCTTCTGAGTGAGTGTGTGTTGAGAAGTGCGAAAAATAATACGCAATGCAACCCAATGGAGTGTAGAGCAACAGCCCCTCCCCTTTAAGGCGAGCCCAATGATGGCAACGACAGCCGCAGCCTGTCTATATGTGCGTGTGTCGTGTGTGTGTGTTGACTATGTGGACTGCATTGCCTCTGCTACTACCGTTCACCCTAAATCTTAACTATTTTCTCCTGCGCTTAATTAAATGCTAGTTCCTTCAAAATTTATGCATTTTGGCCTGCAAAATCGATTTTCTTGCAAGGCGCGGCAACAAGCGTCGTTTTTGTTTGGCACCCGCGGCCGTTCACAACATACATATATACCAGAGAAAAAGAGATAGGGAGAGTGAGAGCGCTTGCTCTATGTATATGTATTTAACGTGCGTGCATATGTGTGGGTAAGGACGGCACGGCGTTCTGAGCTGCAGCTTCAAATAAGGAAAAACCGGAAAATGTTTGACAAAATATATTTGTGTGCTTGTGTGTAGAAAGAAAAGCCCAAAACAAGACATTCATGGGGGAAACCAACAATGCAAACACACATATACATATATAACTCAGGGCGACGACTCACGCACAGGGCAATTCGGGTGGTACTTTTTTGTGGGTGGTATTTTATTTTTGGGCTTTTCTTTTCGGGCTTGTTCCTTTTTCGCAGCACATCTTTTGCGTGTTTGCATTAATGAATGAATGAATGAATGAAATTTGTCCGCGTGTGCCCAATACTTGATTTGTTGTTGTTGTTATAATGCGTCGTGTGCTGCATTCCAGAGATAGCTTTTATTTTAAAATAGCCGCACTTCGTGCATCTCTCGCTTTTTTAATATCTTTATTTATGTTTCGTTTTCTAACACTCGCACCCACTATCTTGCTCTCTTTGGCTTTCAGAATAGAATGGGTGGAAATAATCGAGCCGCGCACCAAGGAGCATATGTATGCCAATCTAACAACTGGCGAATGCGTTTGGGATCCACCCGAGGTAAGTGTAACTTACGATCTGTGTGCCAATAATTAAATTAATTATATTATATACACATAGTACACAGAGGCAGACACAGTACGCTTCATTAACAGTTTCACGCTAATTGCTAAATGTCGCGTGGGGGCTAATGAACTCATTTGTTTTTATCAGTTTTATATTATATACCCTTGTTGTGGGTGTT